CTAACTAATATAAATACCTCTTGACAAAAAGATTTAAAGAAATCAGTAAATTGGACTATATTCAGGCACTTTGTTGTCCGGCCAAGGAGCCATTTAGCACTTCATTGAGGATTTTTGTCTTTGTTTCAGAAAAAGACTGGAGCACTTAAATTGGCACTTCAAGAGGAGACATCATGTTGATATGATTATATGAATATACAGTAAAAGAAAATCTCTATGAAGAAGATGTATCTGAAACCTAAATACAAGAGGAATCTAATGTTTTAGTATGAGAGTGTTCACACCTTGTATTTGTATTTCTTTAGGACTTGAATAAGCTAATTCAAAATTCATTTGACGTGAAAGCAGTGTATGTGTCGTCAGAACGATTAAGCAACAATCATATAAGATAGAAACACGTTTGCCCTGATTGTGCATTTGTTTGAACATCTACTTTGTGAAGTGCGTGCATGCTGCCTATAGCTGTTTGCCTAGTTAGTTTGTCCAGCTTCTGTTTTTCCTCGCAAGTTCTCTGTGGAGCAGTCTGCTTTTAAAATGATTTTTTTTAAATCTATATATAAATCTATATATTTCTATGTATAAACAAGCTGAATTATCACAACTCTCACTGGAGGCTGGCTTTGAAATACAAGTAGAGCCACGCTCTAGTGCAAAGGTGGAGTTCAATTGGAATGTGAAACTTTGTCCATTGCTCTTTAAAGCCCCAATCCAAACTGTCACTACTGTTAAACTAATATAGCTCCTGTCAGAGCTCCTGGTAGACTAATAGAGCTCCTGTTAGACTAATAGAGCTCCTGTTAGACTCTCAGAGCTCCTTTTAGACTATCAGATCTCCTGTTAGACTATCAGAGCTCCTGTTAGACTAATAGAGCTCCTGTTAGACTACCAGAGCTCCTGTTAGACTAATAGAGCTCCTGTTAGACTACCAGAGCTCCTGTTAGACTAATAGAGCTCCTGTTAGACTAATAGAGCTCCTGTTAGACTCTCAGAGCTCCTGTTAGACTAATAGAGCTCCTGTTAGACTATCAGAGCTTCTGCTAGAGCAGAGCACTGACTGCCTCAGTTGAAGAAATTAGAAAAGCTCATTCAAAATCACACTGACATTTGCAATGTCTTTGTATTAATAAAATTGCTGATCACATAACACAACTTAACAATGTGTTGTGAGAATCCTGCACAGCCTTTGCTGAATCATAAAATGTAAAAGGTCCTGATTCTAATACAGAGTACTGTAGTAGATACAAATCACCTGAGAATTTGAACATATTCTATAGCACGTAAGATATGGGTACAACTAAGCTAAGCTAGCCACACCCCCTTACATGAACCAACAATGAGCTGTGCTACTGGAAGTGTTTCTTTAAATTTAGATTTAAATTGAATTCCTGAAAAATCAATGTGGACATGTGGCCGAATGGATTTCGGACTGGGGCTTTAAAGTTTGAACAAAATATTTAAAATTTCTACCCCTGATTTTTACTGATGTAAATGTTTTGACTTTAAAATTGTAGTTTAGAATATGATCCGACATGACTCTAAGTGTATTTTATGAACCTGTCTTTAAATTGTAAGACTGGTCTCTATTTTGTAGAGTGCATAGACCTGCAAGCGCACAAACACATGCACACATGCAGTACACACACACACACACACATATGATACACACACAGTACATACGTGGTGGCACAGCCTGGGTGCGGAGCAGTAGTAAATATTTGTCGACTGGTGTGGTTTCTCCTGTCCTCAGCTCTTTTTATTTTTTTTAATATGTTTTTTTTTTTACTGTTTATGCTTTTTTCATTCTTGTACTTGTAACTGAAGCAGAACAGTATTTACCCATGTGGAGGTTCTACCAGGTTAAAGCCAGAAAATCTTTACAGAAGCTTCTTCTCTGCAAACATTTTCTACTCGTGTGCTTTTTCATTTGCTTGATGTTAAATTGAAGAACCCTGGTGTTGCATTGGGGAGCACAGACTCTTTGACCTTATGTTTTTTTCTGTCTGGAGAAAATGTGCGTAACCATTGTGACAAAGGAGCCTTTAGATGTGCTCCATATGCTACAATGAAGAATGTCTGTTCCCCTTACAGACCTTCTCTGTGTTGCTACTTCAACTTAACAAACCACAGAGGGTGAAGCGGACAGACAAACAGCTCTGCATCACACTCTCCAGGCAGAAAAGCCTTTTATCCCGAGCTCCGAGCTCTTTGAGTCTTGCTGCATGCTCCAACACTGACTGTTTGGTGAAGTTATAATCCTCCATCCATCCTCAGCTTCAGTGGTGGGGTGAGTTAAAGTCAGCAATGTCAACATTGTAATTATTCCTGGAAAAACTGTCTGGTTTACATAGAGGAATTTTGTTTATGGTGCTAAAGTCACTGGAAAACTACATTGAGAAAAAGAAAGTCCTTGCCCCATCCCTCCTGGTAATTGTGCAGCTCTATGGTTCCCCAAAAATTTTTTCCAGTCCCCTCCATTGTTTTGTGTTGTTGGCAGAAATCGCAAATGAAAACAAGACAAAGTACATTAAGTGACAAAATATGTTTTTGTCTTTTGGGTGAAACAACTACAAAAGTTGCTCAGGGAGCCGAGCATTTCAATCTGCTCTCACTCAAAGTCAACCTTTTGCTTTTTTCAAGTAAAAAAGAAATCATTTTAATGTTGATATCATTTATAGGTGCATTCATTCATTTGTTTGGCCACTTGGGGGCAGCAGAACAAGCTGTAAACAGGCATATTATCTATCAACAAGTTGATTTGGCTCATTTCCACGTCCAGCAGAAACTGTCATGTCTGTGTACTTTTGATGAATGTTATAGCCACTCTCCTTTTAGCTCTGTTTTGGTCTCCTCCAGCTCCTTAGAAAAAGGACGTGGCTCTTGAGTTATTTTGCGCTGCTGTGTTCACCAGCAGGTAGCTAACTTTCTCACATTTCATTGATTATGTAGAAATATTGATTAGTGCAACTTTAATATGAAGTTACAGGAATAAAAAAACACTTCAAATGAATGAATGAATTTGAGATATGAGGAATCCTTCAGGTTACTTTGTGCAGGCCAGACACTTTTTGTTCATAGCTATTACCACGGATTGATTTAAGTGAACAATTTCGCTGTTGCTGTAACTCTGTAATTGAAAGCTCTCACCATTTTTTTGCTGTGTATTTCTCTGTTATAGTTCAACTTTTTTTTTTTTTTTGTTGCTGCTTCTCTGAAACAAACACTGGCTTTTCAACTCCAAAGGTTGTTCTACAAAAGAATATGAACAAAATCATGCCTTTCTCACAGACTGCTTAACTTTACTGAGAAGAAGAAGAAAAGAAAAAAGAATCTGGTACCCTGGTCGAATGCGCAGGCTGAGCTCATCGAAGATAAGACATGGAAATGGAATATGTTTACAAATAGGTGTCATGTCACGTATGATCAATTCTTGCCATGTAAAAATCACTTGGTTCAATTAGACTGGTTCTTGGTGTTGTGTAAAGAGACAAAGATTGAGATTCCTCGACTTGTCTTTAATCCAACTTTTGGGATGGGTTAGCATTACATGAATACAAGTGCACCTCCGATATTTGCCTTAGAACGTGCAGAGGCCATAGTTCACATTCAAGTGAAGTGAGTGTATGCAGGGGCCTGGACCCCCATCCCTGAGTCACCAGTGCGGACTTTCTCACACTTATCTACCTGTGAAATCCTTCATACCTCTCATAACTGGTCAATGACTGTATCAGCAAACTGCATCAGGTGTTTTTTCTACATGCTTTTTACACAGATTATATGGATTATTGTACTAGTCAATTTTGGTGCATCATTTTTAATGTAATAGCTCTTAAGCTTGTAGTTCAAGTTGTTGTTTTTTTCTTTCATTTTTCTAGATGATTGTTTTGTGTTAATATTGTCAATTCGAAATAGCTGTTATTTGCTTATTCTCTACTAAGAGTTCTTACCTTTATAATTTTTAAATGCTACATGACCCTAATTAATTAAAATGACTTAATAACCATTGTAAATACTGTATTGTGCAAACCCAGTTTTCATTAATTTCAATTGCTAGTGTTATCTAAACGACTTTTTTGTCTAGACACCATTTCTCTTTATGAAATAAAGAAACATGCATATCACATTTTCTGTTTTGTGATTGTTTTTTTCCAATACATGATCAAATGTTGCTTAGTTCCAAACATGAATTAATACAGCTTCAACATATCTCTTTAATTTGACCAAATCTTGACCTCCTGTCTTAGTGTTATTTAACACAAACTGACCCTCAGCAGATTTTTATTATGTCCTGGACTGAGACGCTGTTGAGATATTGTATCTTGTTGTGGACAGAGGCCAACCAGCTCAGTTTGCTGTGTTCATGCTGCATTTAAGTCCCTCCAGAATAAAACAAAACACAAGTCAGACAAAACAGTTCAGTCAAGCTGAAGAGGGAAAAGAGTTTAATAGAAAAGAACAGCAGGACACCAGAAATATTTGCAATTACAGCTCAAATTTCTCAGATATCTTCATAAACAATATAATGCGACTCTCAGTCAAAACAAATGTTAAATTTAAAGAACTCTTTTTTTCTGCAGCTCGTTCAGTATGATAAATCATAAACACCGGTTTCGAGAACTCTCATCTTTGTGTGCTCACCAATTCCACAATCTGTAATTACAATCTTCTGTCAAGACTTTTGGCCTCATTTTATGAGCTGTCACATGTGCTTTGAGCCAAATGGAATTTGGATTCCCTGTTGGATTTCTGTTCTCCAAGAGTAGCCTGCAAACTGTCAACATAAAAGATGCTGGAGATAACGTCGACGTGAAGCAAATTATTAGGCATTTTAATAATGAGAAATATAACTGAAGCTTCTGCTCGTGTATGATACATTCTATTTTAACATACTGTGAAAATGCACAGCTGCAGCTGAGAGACGGGATATTTGCTTTGTACTCAGGATCCTCAATCCCCTTCTTTAACTCATCCTCTGGCTTGGACCCAAGATGCTCATTTGCACTTTACTTTTTCATGATTGAAGACAGCTCCAGAATCATGCTCTGAAAGAAAGAAAGGAAGAAAGAAAGAAAGAAAGATACAAATTGAAGGTTATGTCTCAGACACTACGCTTTTCTCTCATGGAGCACTAAAATGGACATGTCATTCACAAGGCTCCTTAAGATATGTTTGTTATGTATTATCATTCATTCCGTGTTTCCTGTTTTATTTTGGTAACCCGTGTCTCTCATTTCAGATCCCACGTCCTGTCAAGTTTCCCTCCTGTGTGATTGACCCTCATGTGCTTCACCTGTACTTGATTGTCTCACCTGTATGTCATTGTCTTCCCTCCCCTCACAACTATTTAGTCGGTGGCTGCGCTCAACTAGTCCATTTTGCTTATAGGCACCTTCTTACCCGAGTGAAATGATCCAGAAGTGTTTCAGTGGTTACCATCATAAGAGCTGTTTAAATTCTCTAAATGTTAAGGAATGGAGCGTCAATGCTTCTAATATCTCCTTTAGCAGAGGAAACCTCGGACGATCCTTATTGAAAGGAAAAAGGTATTTAATTTGAAACAACCTCGTAGTCTCACCTGGAAAAACCCATGTAAATATAAAATAAAATAAACAGCTGTTTTATTCCCATGACAGGATCCAGAACTGATGTGAATCCTCACATTTGTCTGAGCTTCTGATTTCTTCTCTGTTACATCTGTCCAGTCAACAACAAACACATTGAACTTTAGTTTATCATCAGAACTAAACTCAAAATATAACACAAATAGAAAAGTCACTTTAATCCCCCGATTGTGGACTGCAACACAAACTATTTTCTCCACTTAAATAGGGTTTTCACCACATATATTCCTCATTATTTCAGTCCTGTTTGTTTTATCTTCATTTTCAATTTAATCTGTTTAGTTGGCACTTCCTGTTGGGATTAAATGTCCCCTCTATGTAAAGTGAAAACATCTTTCCTCAGGATGTGTTATTTTGTTTCGGACAGGAAACTACCACCTGTCAGAGCACAGCCTACAGCACAGAGTACCATACTCTTTGTGAGTATCTTCTGTAATATATAAAGTTGGATCTTCTCTGCACCGTGGTTCTCCTTTCCTAACTCCTTGCGGCTTCTCCTTCACATCTTACCTTGAACCTGTGGCGTATTCCATCGGGGTCGAGGAATAGTGGTTAGGAAAGGAGATTACTTGGACTTCCCAGTAATCAGTTCCAGTGTGCTTCCCTTAAGCACTGCATGGACAGATAGCAAAACTATGCTGTGTGTTCTGACAGCGACAGGCCCACTGTCAAGTGTTAAAGCAACAAGTACACTTGAGTGCTCAGTTACCATCAGATTCTGACCTCTAGTGGTGTCACTTCTCACTTCCCTGCAGTGATGTAACAAGTGAAAGCCAGGGTGTGACAGTACGCTGTGACATCACTGGTGGGTGCGGTTACAAGTGAAACAAAACAGACTGTGACCACACCCATTGGAGGTGAAACAGAGGGAGTCTTAAATATTTCCACTTTTTTCCTCAGAGCATCTTTCAAATCATAAAACATAACAAACGAGCAAAAAACACGATTCAATTACATCAAATGTTTCTGTTTTCATTTTCTTATGTTCTTGTTTTTCTTTAAAATAAGTTTGATATGTTAGATGATATACACATCTGTTACTACTACTAATATCAACTATAACACATTTTATTTGTATTAGAATTTGTGCAAACAAGCAAAAAAGGCTAAAAAAGTTGTCTAGCAGGTTGTAAGCTACAAGTGACAACGTGTCGCTGTATAAGTGCCATGTTACCACCAGATTTTGAAAGACAAGACCAAATCTATATGTATATGTGAACTTTATGTTCAGCTCGAAGGTGAAAAATTTACCAGAGAGGGCAATGAATACAGCTGATTTAAAAATGTAAGTAAAATACATTGTTGTATGGATTTTATTCTGATATACAGGATGATTCTTCAGCTTTTTATCTTTAACAATGGTCATGCTGAGTTGTTCATGCCAAATGGAAAATAATCGACTGTCAGTCAAGAGCTTGTTGTCACTGAAACAAGCTGATGGCAGCCATACAGATAACAATATGTCATCATACTCACTTTATATGTATGTTTTAATTAGATTTTATTCAGGCATAAATCTTCCATAGTAAAACACAGTTTTTTAGCTTGAGGACCAGTGTGTGAGATTTAGTGCTATGTAGCTGTGAAGTTGCACATTACAACCAACAGAATACCGCCCCTGTCATCCCATTATGACTTCAGCTAATATACAAAAAGGGAAGGGCCCTCTCAAGGGCCAGTGTTTGGTTTGTTCACTCTGAGCTAAACTGCAGAAACATAGCAGTGCAAATAGACTCCATGGAAGAGGCGCTCATTTGCCAAAACTCTATGATTCACAGTTTCTGGGTTTATATCACTTATGAAATCATAATGATGCATATTATTCTCCATTTCTGTCAACAGATCATCCTGAATCCTACACATTGGACACTCCTGCACTCTGAAGTGTTTTTCCGTTGACACATCAGGCAACATGTAGCCCGTCTTTCAGTGAGTTGACTTTCATTGGTACAGCACAACTGGCTACAGCTGTGTTTAACACTGATCAGGAAACCTCTGTGTATATATGGGCCTTGACATCTCAAGGCACCGACCCTTCTAAGATGTTAACCAATTGCAGAAGAGTGGGCTAGTTGACCAATCAGAGCAGAATGGTCTTTTTTAGAAACAAGAGTTTGAAAAGAGATTCTGCAACAATGCACTGTATGAGTTCATGTTTCTTTTAATTATCACAATATGTAAACCTGTTGTAGTAAATCCCCAAATTAAGTTTAAAGGTCTAAGGTCTAAATGCCAAAATATGGGCTACATCCTCATTCAAAAGATATTTCCTTTCAGTTTGAGAGCAGGACTTGTTGATTTCACATTCAGATGTTGTACTGTGCTCACTCAAAAGCCTGCTGTTGTATTCTAATATACGCTGCCACTATCCTTTTTGTAGTTTCTTCTGCTCTAGGATTTTGTTGTCCTGCCCCTGTTGTGGGTGTGTTGGCTTTAAGCCTTTGAGGTCCCTTACAGGTCGTTACTTTAACCGCGTTCATGCACTCCTGCTCTCCACGGCGTCATGGAACAGGAGTCCAGCAGACAGCTGGTCAAAATGGAGCAGCAATAAGGATCTCAATTAAGTTGGATTAACATTTTGGAAACACTGTTATAAGCAACTATAACAATAAAACAAACAGCCTTGTTTCTTTCCCCCCTGTGTTTTATGGGAACTGCACCAACAGCAAAAGTAATCAAAACAAGGGTGGGGCAGTTTTATCCAAGCAGTCTGCTGCTCCGAGTCTAATCAGGGTATATTCGTGTGCAAAGCATTACAAAATCAATCAATCAATCAATTATATCATAACCCATATCATACCACATAAAATCATGGATTTATTGGGTCCTGCTCTCAAACTGAAAGACTGTGTGCTCTTGAATAAGAAAATAGAAACATAGCACCAACCTTTGTTGCTTTAAGGGTTCCAGATAAAACAAGACTGAATGATAATTGCATGTTCTCACCATGGACATCCTCCTCCCACTGGATGGAGGTGGGGTCACCATTGGACTCTCTCCCTGGTTGAGGTGCTGGGCCTCGAGGTCTGCCCCGCTCTGAGAGTCGGCACTGTCCGATGGAGTGGCCAGCATCCCTTCTGACATTCCTCTGGACATAAAACTGCACTTCCTGGCTGTGGGGTAGTGGTCGCTCTCCGGAGAATCACTTGTGTCACTGAACTCCTTACAAACACTCACCCTGCTCTGCTTCCTCTGCGCGTTCTTCAGGGCTGCTGGGATCTCCATGTGGCTGGCCATCAGTGTGGGTCGGGGTCCTGCATACTGCGGCTGGCCTGAGCCGCGCCGTCCGTTCGACTCCTCGCTGCTACATGACGGTTTCCTGCTCTCGAGAGTGAAGCGCCGCTCCACAGCCCCCAGCTGCTGCAGACCCGGGATGTCAGCTTGGCTTGGCAGGTACGTCTGTGCGGGGGGCTGATGGAAATGCTCCTGATCCCGAGAGGCCACTGGGAGCAAATTCAAAGGCAAAGTCTCCCCGTGAGCATCAGACAAACCAGGGCAGTTTAACTGTGTGAGATGCATCAACCTCTGTGGTGAGGAGTTAGTGAGCACGCACACCTGCTGCACCATGGAGTTTTTCTTTGACCTGCACATGCTTTCGTCATCTCCATATTTGTATCCGTACAAGCTTTGTTTGATCTTCTTCACCCCTAGGTGGAAAATCTCCAGGAGATTGAGGAATAAAGAAACTCCAGCAATAACCAGCATGAAGACCATGAAAATGTTCTTCTCTGTTGGTCGTGACACAAAACAATCGACACTGTTGGGGCAAGGCAACCTCTCACATTTGTACAGAGGAGAAAGCCCAATGCCGTACAGAGCACACTGACCTATAATAAAGCCCACCTCCACCACAGATCTAGTCAAGATATGGAAAACATATGTACGCAATAAGGAGCCTCTGAGGGGAGCTTTCCTTACTTTCTTCTGTTCATCTAGTTTCCTGAGCTCTCGCTCGATCCTCTTATGGTCCTCCTGGATGGGGTCTGTCCCCTCCAGCTCAGCTTTAAGATAAGCTTTTTTCCTGTGCCTCTCTTTCTCCAGGGTCCTCAGACGGTATAAGGCGTGGCCCATGTAGACCAGAGACGGAGAGGACACAAAGATGATCTGAAGGACCCAGTAGCGGATGAGGGAGATGGGGAAAGCCTGGTCGTAGCAGACGTTCTTGCAGCCAGGTTGGTCTGTGTTGCAAACAAACTCACTCTGCTCGTCGTCCCACACGTCCTCAGCTGCAACACCGAGCACGAGCATCCGGAAAATGAAGAGGATGGTGAGCCATACCTTCCCTACAATGGTGGAATGGATGTGGACCTCTTCTAAAATGCTCCCTAATAAGTTCCAGTCCCCCATCTTCTCTCACATTATTATTTGCTGTCATCGAATAAAGAAAATCATGAGTAGTTATCAGTCTTTCATCAAATGGGATTGTCAAAATTTTTTTTACTTACATGCTTTCTAGGGTCCTTATCTCTGGTGCTTCCGTATGAAGCCAGTGTAAAAGAGCAGATTCATTTGTGGGACGTCTGGGCTCAACTGTCATCCCTTGAAGACAGACCCCTCTGTGCAGTGCAGCTGACACTATTTCAGTGCAGTGGCAAACTAGGACTCCAGTTTGAAGTGATCGATCCACCACATGACCCTATAATGCCCTGAGGTTAGCTTCACCCTGCTACTTTGAACAGGACACAACACAAATAGCACAAACTGAAACATCAATACGCTGCCATGGACAATGTTTTCAACTTTAATGCTTATAAATAAGGTCCGATGAGGGTGCTACAGCATATGAGGATATACATGCAGCGGTATGCTTTCAACCACATGGATTCAGTTTATACATGCAGATATGGTTTCCCCAGTTTAGTGTGGAAGACATCAACTGGTTTAATCTGAACTCCACCCAAACACCTCTGGGATGGAGGGACTGACATCCAGCCAGGACTTATCAGCTGACATCAATGCTTGACCTCAATAATGCTTTTGTGGAGGAACAGGAGCAAATTTAAGGTTTGACTTAACGTCCCATTTTGATTAAGATTATATTTAGGGCTGGATCACGTGAACCCTGAATGGTTCAGGGTACATATGCCGCTATAGGCCTAGAGTGCAGGGGGAACCCCCATCATGCACCTCTCCCTCTTTCTGGCCCCATTTATTTTATAACATGTCTCTAACTTTGTTGTTTTTCAATAGTCTCTCTCTCAGTTTTAAGGTCTTAACTTTACTATGTGTCTTGATAAAATATGCTATGATTTAAATTAGCACCATATAAACAAAAATTGAGGGAGGCTGTAGCAGCACATTGATCCCGATGGGTTATCATTCCCATGCAATGGATTTTTATCAGAATGGAGTCCTCAGTACAGCTCATGTCATAATCGTTGATTTAATATTTATGTGGACATCAGCAGTGATGTCCTCAGCTCTATCTCATCATTAGACTCAACTGGCCTCTCTCCGAGTGGCAATATACCCACTCGCACTAAAGTAATCTCTGCTGTATGGCATCAAAACTTAGCATTTAAACTTTTCACAGAAATGTTCTCACACTTCTGTAATTACTTTTAAATTCCTGTGTCATGGAGCCAACTTCAGTGTGTAATTTCCTGAAGTCAGTTTTGGTGAGAAGTGGGTGCTCATTCCTCTCGCACATCTGATGTAAAATACAAACAAAGTTCTTCAATACATAGAATTAAACACAAGTAGAGGTAACGAGGGTGCAAAGAGCATTCAGTAGTTGTAAATGATGTAAATAATATGAATATTGCCCAGTTCCTGCTCACACAGGAGGACTGACTGACCTGATCCGTAGGAATCATCTACTCCCACTTTAAATTTCTCTGTGCCTGATATAATAAAATATGTATTGCCACCAAGGATGTTATGTTTTTCATCCCATTCTAGTTTTCTGTTGGGGGGGGGGGGGTGATGCCACCTGTGTCCATCCATCCATATACCTTTGTAGGTCATGGGGGTGCTGGAGAACTGACATTGGGTGAGAGGAGCTGTGCACCCCAGGGCCACTGCTAACCTGTGTCCACTTAATTGGTACTAATTCCAGAGATCCTCTCTGATTGGTCACAGACAGTAAGTGACTGGGATATTTTAAAAAAGGCTTTGGGAATCAACAGACGTGGCTCTGTTTCTCTGTCTATCTGGGATAATGAAGAAGGGCCAGGGTTTTGTGGACTATGTAGGTTTCCTTCATCAAATATCTGCAGAGAATTGATGAACCTCCTGAAACATTTTTTGCTTCCTCTTTTCAGGGCCTGTCTTTTTCGTGCTGGGACTCAAGGAAGTGCTTAAGCACTTAATTTAGAGTCATGTCTCAACATAACAGAGGGCTGTGCTGCTAATTTATTCGGATGAGGCGAGTGAATCAAAGAGGAGGAGGCGTGCTCACCGGGGAGCTTCATGTGCGGCGAGTCAAGCCCCCTGAGGTCAGTCACATGACTTTGTTGATATATATGTCCTCGAGGATAGGGAGATAAGGGTTTGTTTGTTTGGGATTGTCTGAGTAAGCCTTGAAAGATCTTGAATTTGTCTACCCCTACAGTTTCACAGTGGGTCCTTTCTAATGGTGCATAAAGACATGATTGTTGGTCCAACTTTTGATGGGAGGTGAGGGGGCTGGGAGAGCACCTTCACCTGCACCACAGAGGATCAGTCAGTGCAGGTGAGAGCTGTTAGCTGATTGATCGTCAGGTTTAAAAGGCAGCGGCGGAGCTGCCTCGAGAGAACAGACACTCAGGACAGTGCCGGACAGAGACTGAGCTGCGAAGCTTTCAGGTAAGTGTTTGTGTATTTAGATTAGATTAGATTCAACTTTTTTGTCATTGCACATGTCAACTAAGTACAAAGCAACGAAATGCAGTTTGCATCCAACCAGAAGTGCTTAAACAGTAAATAAATACATGTTACAGTAGGTATATACATACATACACATATGTATGTATGTGTATATATACATATATGGGAGAGTATATAATATATATCACATATAATGAATGGGAGAATGTGTACACAGTATGTAGATATGCATGAAGTGGTATGTAAATATAAACAATATGTACAGATATAGTGGTATATAATATAATAATTGCACCAGGTAAATATACATGAAATGGTATATAAAGAAGTATGAGCAGTATATAAATACAAATTTAGTTTTGAAGTTTAGATAAAGATAGAAGAGATGAATGGTTTGTCTCTGGCTGCTGTGGTGAGAGCCCCGTGGCATGGTCGACTGCCACAACACTGTTATTAAACTTTAGTCTTGGAGCCGCCTCTGTTTCTGACTTTATTAGATTGGGAAGACAAATGATTCTGATATATGACACCAAAGATCAGTTCAGTGTGGGCTTGTCATCAATTAGTGTAACACATAATCAACTTAACATGCTCAGCTGAATGAGTGCATTTCCTCTGGAGAGGGACTTTCCCTATGCCTGCTGTTAATTGTCAACACGTGTGTCAAACACTAACCGTGTTGTTAACAGACATTTTCAGAGATCATACACAGTGTCAGATGCTTGACAAAGGTTTTTCTACAACATTGTCAGACAGGAGTTAATGATGAATACAGTCTGTCCCTGTCTGTTTAAACTGATTGTCTGGTTAGTTAACGAGCACATAATCAGTTTGCCCTCTGGGTCAGAGATGATCCAAAAAGCACAGAAGAGTCAAGGACTGTTTGTTCCCTGAGTCGCCCCAATAGAATGATGAAAATCAATTAATTAATATTATAGATTCTTCTTCAGACGGCTGTAGCTGAGGGGGAGAGCAGTCATCCCCCAAACAGAAGGTCAGCAGTTTGATCCCAGTCTTCCCCATCGGCATGCCAAAGTGTCCCTGGGCAAGATGCTGAACCCTGAATTGCCCCTCATGGAAAAAAGTGCTGCTAATAGATGCACTGTATGAATGTGTGTGTGAATGGGTGAATGGCAAACTGTAGTGTAAAGTGCTTTGAGTGGTCATCAAGACTAGAACAGCTCTATAAATACAAACCATTGCCAATGCTAATATGTATGAACAACATTTTTATAATCAGTAATATATCATAGAATAAATACAGCTATTATTAGAGCCTGTTTCTAATCAAGTTTTATTTCCCTTAAAAGTCTCAATCTTCCCTATAACTACCAAATGAAATAGACTTTATTTTAATTTGATGTTTTATTCTTTTATAATTGTATTGTACATTTTACTCAACATTTATTATAGCTGTGACATAACAAACACATGAGAAATGCAGGTAAGACACCATAAGCTTATTGAACAAATATAACAAAAATGTCATCAAATTGTTAAAAGTGGAGTGTTCAATCATCCACTCACAGCCTATCAGATTTATGTTGTGAACCATTGGAGGAAAAAGAAATCCAGCTGGAGAAGTACTGGAGTAAAATAACAAATGTAGTATTATTATAACCTGTATATCGTAGGTAAAATGCACCAGTTGTAATCTCAGTCTCTGTCTATCTAGTAATGGCATATGTATAGCCTTTCAATTTTATGGCAGAGATGTACTTTTATTTTGGTTCTGTAAGTATATTTTACTGACAATATTCCTGTGCTTTGGATTAGGTGGGATGTTGAAACCAGGAATATTTTAAATTGTGTAACTGGTACTTAAACTTAACGATGTGAAGACATCTTCTACTACAAATTAAAACTGGTCTAGTATCCGTATTCTAGATTTTTAAATTCAAAACTAAGTCAAACCGATTGGCTCCGGCTTATATTTAAAAGGACTTTGATTTTACTGACCAATATATAATTCACACAGCAGTGTATTTAGTCTGACAGTGAAATATTAGATAAAGATATATAAATAAGTGGTAACTAGCATACCTCAGAGCTCAATTGCCGTACTTTGTGGCCCACTTGATGAATTATTGTGTCATAGTGATTGCAATTCATACACAACAGTGTCTTCTACCTCAAGTTCCATTTTTACATCTTATAGTTCCTCAATTTTGCAAAAGAATAAAACAAGACCAGCGTAAATAAATAAAACTTTATTTTCAGTAAAGAATTATGTACAATATTCACAATATTGCATTCCATGCTGTTCATAAGAATTGGGATCAAACTAAATAGCAAGTAGGCCCACAGATAAAAGTTTTAATTCGTATTAACAGGGATAAATTTACTTCACTGTACATTGGGCATATAACCATTTTAATAACCTTGAAAGATGCCAAGCAGCACCACCACACACGGCCCACCCCCTCCCCTCCAATACATCCGTTAAAAAAAAAAACATCCAAAATATCACACACAGAATTCAGTCCCATATGTCAAGTGAAAATATTATTATTATTGATAGTAATAGTGTAAAGGCAGTTGTTTCTGTTTTGAGAGAAATGTAAGTTTGAGACTAGACTGGATGAAGTTTTGCACATCTGCAAAGACAGAGGTAGGAGAGATGAACAGATGCTGCGCTGAGGACAGAGTCACATCAGTCTGAGGAACAGCAAATATCCAGAACCAATACTGATTAATTAAATGTAGTGTGCAACGATTGTTTTGTCCTTCATATCAATCTATCTAGTCAGTTGAGCTGAGGAGGTAAAGTCATTATTGCTGAATTCTTATTTTTCGAACTTTGAATTCTTTTCCCAAGGTACAGTTCAATAAGCGGGAGCAAAAACATCTTCACACACAGTGACTGGACTTTAAACCTATCACGGATGCATATCCAAATTTCTGCTGAGCCGATGGTCGGAGTATGATTGACATCAATTCCTCATGGTCATTGTAGACAATGTGGTTCTCCATGTGACCCAACCAGACCACGTAATGACTCGGCCAGGACTGCGTTCACGTCTTCCTGCACTGTGTCCCATGAACTGCAGCCTACATGCCCGGACTGCTGCTTCAGGATGTGCATGGAAACAAGAGCTATTTGCATTCAACGAAGCCCAGCAGTGTGGGGCGTCAGGTGTCCATCTTCTCCTGCTTCTTAAAAAGCTTCATGAGCTGATTAAACCTGTGAGCGATCTGAGAAAAGGAAAAAAAGTACATGGGTCAATGGATGTTCCTTCATCGCAGCCTGCAATCTTTAAGATGATGAATGAAAATAACCTAAAAATCAACAACAGAGATGAACTCACCTGCCCTGCGGGCTTTTTGAGTTTTTCTGACAGAGCAGAGAAAGTGTCACGTGAAGCCCCTTTCGTCTTCAGCTCAACCAGAATCGCTCGATCTTCATCTCTGCAAGAAGAAGCAAAGCAATGAGACTTAAAACAAATAGATGCCAAGTTAACCACGTCCAAAATTAACACAAAAGTACGAGAACATAGTCTCAAAAAGAAAGCAAGCACTTAAATTTCTCCAAACTTTGTGTTTAGCACCAGAGGCTGAACATGATTTATAAAACAAGAGTTTTGTCCTGACTAATAATTTAAATGCCAAAGTTGTCTCTTTGGGTCTGAGGTGGAATTTGGTTATGGTTAAGAAAAAGGCTAAAAATGGCTTTGAGATCTGAGAAAGAGCGTCAAGGTTCAAATATCGATTTGCAAGAAGGAATAAGAAGAAGAAAAAGCACAGGTCTGATTTTAAAATCTTCCAATAACTGAAATTTAAGATTCTTAACTTAGTAAAAGAAGAAATACCTCAAAATAAAACATAAATCCAATTAAATTACAATGTAAAAGTGCTTTCTTTGCATCTGTGTACAATATTTTTTTAATGCAGAAAATTTAATTGCATTAAAAAGTACAATTTAGATGAAATTTCAATGTGCAAAATCAAAAGCTATTTGAAATAATGTGGGGACTCGTTTAAGATGTATTAAAGTTCATTCAGAACCAGTTACTGACCTCGTCCATGATATCACCACCTCGCCTTTCTTCCTCACAACATTCTTGGCTGAGAGGCTGTTGGGGGACAAAGACATTGGGGAGGATATGGACTCATTATCGTCTTTAGGCTCCATCTTCTCTGTACTCTCCACCTCCTTCCTTCTGGGCCGCTTTGCTTTTGATTGACCATGGCTGCTCTTCCGTTTTCTGCCTCTGTCACAAGCCCACTGGTCTTTCTCCGGTGTGCTGTACATGTTCTCCGGGATACCGTCAGACGCAGACACCTCCATTGCGTCCCTCACAAGAGCTTTTGAGGGACTTTTTGGAGTTTCCATGTGTTCTTCTCTGAGGTGTGTTTGCCTCTCTGTAGCGAGACCTTCTCCAGGGGCTGCCTCGCCAATCTTCACAGAGCTTTGAGCACCGCTGTGCAAACTGTTGTCTGAAGGAATGGCAACGGGTTCATTTTTCCCTGGCTGTGACACCTCAGAAAAACTAAAACGTGCCTTACTCTTTTGAGTTGACACTTCTTCTTTTTTGTGGGATGGATCTTTATTTAGTGTCGGGCTTTTATCTCGAGATAGACAGCTCTCTGGGGCTGTGGCAGTGTGGGAGATCCCGGAGCTTTCAACAGAGTTAGACAGACTGTTCTCAGAAAGCACAACATGTGACGCAGTACTTCCCTCCTGCGATTTGTCCCACAAAACTGATTTTGTTTGACTTTCTTCACTTGCTAGGTCTCCTCTATGCTGGAGATCTTCTTCTGTCAGTGTCTTACTTAAGCTTTCGTCGGCAGTGAGGGTGACGTCTGCACACGCAGCTGTCTGGCGGATCTTCACGATGAAGTGATCATTGGACTTCTCCATCACCAGCGCTTGCATGGGCACGTCAGGCTTGAAGAAGAAAGTTGTGGCGTGCGCGGATGAGGCCCCACTGCTGCCGGAGCCACAGCTGGAGTTGTCGGTGTCGAGGGCGAGGTGAATGTCCTGCTCGGTGGCGTCCTCGCCGTCCAGCAGGGCGTCCTCGCTAATGTGAGCGCTTATGACGCTGTCTGGAGTGGACATGGTGTGCATGCTCGATGGCTGTAGGAAGCTGAGAGTGCTGTCAGACTTGAGGGGGGATGGAATGGTGAGTGAGACAGCCAGATCTTCAGTCAGTATGGAATACCTTTGAGAAGACTGCAGCATCGTTTTATTCTCCACCGGCAGCTCTAACAAGCAGTTCTCGTCAAACAAAGCTGGATTCAGGGGGATCTGTTCTTTCAACCGAGGAGATGACATCTTGCGAGGTGAAATGCTCGACCAGGTGGTGATGAGTTTGGAGGGGGTGTTGAATTTGGCCGGGGTAAGCAGTTTAGACGGAGAGTCAAATTTAGTTGGGGTGGTGATGCTGAGGAACCTCTCGCCATCCTTCTTCGGAGTGCAGAGGGACCATGCTGTGCTGTCCCCTGCGATGCTGCTGTTTTCCAGCAAGTCGGATCCTTGGAGAAGACATTTGAAGATTTCTCCCATTTGAGAGTCCCTCACCAGGTTGAACGTTAAACTGGAGGCTTGTTGTTCCGTAAGCAGTTCAAAGTCGGTTTTGTCGAGCAAAGAGCCACTTTGAGAGACAACCAAAGAGGTCATGCTACTTTTCTCTGGAGTTAGAGAAACTGTTTTAGGAGGAGGGAAGTCCGTTACAGATTGTGTATTTGTTTGATGTGGGTTAATACTGCAGTCTTTTTCCTCGTGACTGATTCTGATGTCTTTGCCTCTGCTTCCAAGCCCTGTTTTGTAAGGCACTACAGTACAAGGCTTGATTTGATTCACGCTGGTCGGAGCGGACTGTGCTTCCTTCTGTTGAAACTGAGGCTTCTTTAAAGGCGTTTGTGCGGATGCTTCCTCGTTACGAGCGGGCTTCTTCTTCTCAGCCGAACCTCTTGCTGGTTTGCAGAGACTCTTCAGTGCAACATTAATGTCCATGAACAAGCAGTCTACTTGAGCATCAACAAAGTCCCACAGCTTCAGCTTCAGGTCGACTGCTTGCTGTTCAAAGATCCGTTTCACAATGCCATTATTTGACACTTTGCTAAACACGGACGCAATCAGATTCTTCAGCGTGGATTTCAGCTCTCCTGCCTGACTGCATATCTGACCAAAATGGGCACCATCCACAAACTCTAAAAAAGATTCCTGATAATTGTCAACAATGCCATTGAAGCTCTTCCTGGGAAAGGTTTTGTGAAGCTTCATGTACTTTTTTCGGATCTCACTGCGAACCAACCTGAATGTCTCCATTATTTCCTCGATGTTGGAAAAGGAAGCTTTGGTTGCTGCAGGGCAAACCGTTTTAAAACGACTCTTTGGACTCCGTGTTGAACCACCTGGTGTTTCGCTGGTTTCTTTTGAGCCCACACACCTTTCCTCAGATTTCCTCTTCAGCACAGACTTGGGACTTGGTTTGTTTCTGACAGGTCGTACCAACTTCGCCCTCTTGATTGCAGGAACTGGGGAACCAGCGGACGCCTCGTCGCTCTCACTTAAAATTTCCCCCTCCTCCAGTTCAGTTTCAGAGAGACTGGACTGCATCTCAGACACCTTGTCCACCACATTGAGGATGTCATGCTTTGCAGGAGGACCAGGATATTTGTTCTCTTTGTTTACATCCAACTTCTTTGAGTTGACATCGACAGCTGTGCTGGAGAAATCTGCACAAGAAGATGAGAGAGAAAACAAGCTGAAATTAAGATTTTGTGGTAGTTACGAATCAGCAGGTCATGTGTATAATAAATATATCACAGCATTAAAAGATCACTATCTAGTAAATGATCTACATTTCTGTCCATTTGAGTCATAACACATAAATTAGAGAGTGAAAATAAAACATGCTAAACAGTTAACAGCCATTCAAGATGACAGATCTATGATTACAGTAGTAATTTTGTAATATGAAATTTGGTTTGTACCATTGGGATATACTGATGTCGGCAGCAAGTTCACTTGGACCTATTCTGTTTCCCAGCATGGATGCTTCATGTAAAAGAGTGATCAACAAACTACTGATGTAACCTGATCACACAATGACCTGAGGGGAGATAATGCATTTCTGTTCGGAGCAGCTCTTTGCTTTCATTCAACAGTGAACCTCATTCACCATTTCCAGCTAAAGGGATGGTTCACAGAAAAGTCGAATATGAATGTCGGGGCTTGCGGACACATGGATGACACCACACAAGCAGCATAGATGCATGTAACTGTATGTTTTTTTTCTGTTTCATTACATCTGAAGGAGGATCAGTTTGGCATTATTCACTTTACCCATCCCTCCATCAGCATTGTGGTGAGTAGATAATGAGTGAATTTTCTTTTTTATGTGAACTAGCCCTTTAATCCCTTATGCTACAGTGATGGTACAAAGTTGAAATGTGAATATGTTTTTAAATATTTGAGTGAACATTCCAGTCTTAGGAAAATACAACAATCATAAATATCAGAATGTGCATTAATTGGACGTTGGTTTCAGGGTGAAAACATTCCAGTAATAGGGCTACTGAAAGGGGAACAAATCTGAGCTTTCCAGAATTATATCATAATATCCGTATCAATACTAGATATGTATTATTTAAATGAATGACTTTATTCTGATATTCTCATAGAAAAAAATTTAATTTTAAGAAAATAAAGTAATGTTGTCGGAACAATGTGAAAATAATTACTTTTAGAAGGGGAATATCAGATTATCAGGAATTTGGAGCATCTTGTGTTACTTTAGTATAGGTTTCAAAAATAATGAAATACTTAATGTTTTGGTACATCAGCACCACGTTGTCCTATGTCTGAACTTGGAAAAGAGTTTATTCTGAGGAAATTACCACACAGACATGAGGCAATTTGCCTCTTGGTGGTGGAGGAAACGTTTTGAAATAGTTGCAGCAGAGCTATATATACCGTAATATTCTTTCCTTCCACAGTCTTTGCAAAACCTGGTGCCTACATTGCCCACAATGCAACTTGACTGCTGACGCTGATCAAAGATTTGGGTGAGGGATGCTGGTAGATTATTGTATCCTGGAGCCACTTTTTACATATTTACACAGGCTGATTTAAACCCTGGCTAACATGGACTTCTCACAGCTCCCTCTCTAGCCACAGAAGACACAGCTGTATTCTCGTTGACCTCCCCAGACTGACGTGTAAAGCAAAGATTTAGTTATAAGCTCTATTTTGGCATCTTCAGTTAATAAAAGTAAAATCAGACATCAAGATTATGACTGAATTCAACCATCGCCAAAGGATGACCAACTTTAAAATAAATATGAGCACTAAAAAATGATTTGTCTGCCAGAGATATAATAATGAAGACACTGTGTAGTCGTGATCACAAGACAACAGGCCTGAAAGTCCCTAACAGCCACTCTAATCTCCTGCATGAATGTCAAATTGAAGTTTGTTATCAGGCTAACATTACCTTTTTGGAGGCTCTTGACATGACCAGGCTTGGCGTGAACGTGGACGTGACTTCTCTTGGTGATCCGTATCGGGCTCCTCAGAGGGCTAATGGCATCAGGGATCCTCTTCAGATTGCTGAGTGTGCGCATCATGGAGTCCTCGTCATGAAGCAGTGGCACTGAACTGGAAGGCTTGGCATTACTCTCTCGGTTCTTTCCAGGACTGAAGCTCTTTCTCGGTGTGAAAGCGAGGCAACTGTCTGACGGGACCGTCTCCTCTGTCGTGCTGCTGACCTTGGACACTGCGATACAGCCGGTGGAGGAGCTCGGCTCAGCGCAGATACTATTGCTGTCGCTAGCCTCTTCGCTTGTCTGTGTTAGAACTAAAATAGCCTCAGGTAAACTCAGCCCTTCTTGTGGAAGTGATTCCAGGCTTATTGTGCTGGATACAGCATCTGTGTCTTTTGGACCATTTTGCATATGACTGGCATCTTTCTTGTGAATGGAAGTGACTGAAGCAGGGGGGTGGATTCCTTGCTGACAGTCTGGTGTCAAAGCAGTGGCAGGAATCTGTTGACGTCTGGGACTGTCGGGAACATCTTCAGCTACAGCGTGTTCCTTTGAGGGTGAAGCAGTGGGAGCTTCTTCAACTGAATCCACGGGGAAGCTTTTCTCTGCCACTGTCCTTGACTCAAGGACATCAGGGTCAGACACAGTTTCCTCAGTTTTATTTCCAGGGTTTACTTTGGGTAGTGGTGTAATGTAATCGCTTGTGGGTTGTTTGGAAACACTTCCTGGTGTATCACTGATATTGTCTATCACCTCCACTGGTTTCGATTTATCCGCCTGTCTGTCTGAGGTCAGAATGTTTGAGATGTCGCTCTCTGTGGTCTTCAGAGAACAACACTCTGGTGATTTCGGTGTAAGATGCACACTCTGCTGACTCGCTGCTGTATTTAGGGGTTGGCTGAATGCTGAGGTAGTTTGGACTACACTCTCTTCAAGCACTTTGACCGCTTCAGCTTCACTAGGACGCTTGTCCTTTTCCAGGACATCTTCTGCATCATCCTTACACCTCTTGTGTGTCCTTTCAGAGCTTGATTCTTTGGGGATATTCGATGACTGCTCTGGCACATCTTCCAGTCCAGAGTTTAAGTCACTGCACTCTGCTTCGTCTATGACACACATGTCTTCAGCACAAAACTGTAAATTCTCATCATCTGATTTGTTTTCAGCCAACTTGTCCTTCGTTGTGGGGACGTCCTGGCTGGCTTCGATGGGCAACACTGGCTTCTTAATCGGTGAGAGGGTTAGATTCAATGTTTCCATGAAACACAGTTTCCTGTTTGGACTATTTTCTTCCACAGAGCTTTTATCTGGGATATGTGGTTCTTTAGATGCTCTTTCTAAGGCATTGTGGGTCTTTTCCTGACTTTCCTTATTGACATCTTTACCTTTGTCTGATTCGTTTGATCTCCGTTTCTTTCGGCTCATCTCTGAAAGCTTGCTCTTTTTATGCTTTCTGCTGTCTTCACCTTCATGTCTTCTTTCTTCCTTCTTCTGATGATCCTTCAATGGTCGCTCTCCCTCCCTCTCCTTGGAGGAAACAGTGTGGCGCTCGGTGTGTAGACTCGAAGAGGATTTTGTTCGGTCCTTGGAATCTGAACTCCGGTTACGTCCATCATCACTCTTGATTTTTCTATGATCTCGGCTGCTGCCCTCTTTAGAACTGCGTGCTGCACTTTGCTCACAGTCCGGCAGCGCCAATTTGGTTTTGTCTTGTCTCCTTTCCTGACTTCTCCCTGTGCTGTCACCAGAGGGGGATGCATTGCGTAAAATCTCAGGTGGGGGGCTTTTACTCCGGTCTGATCTGCGGTGTCCCTCAACATTTAAGATGCTCCTGCTTTTACATGACCTGGAGTCATGCTTCCGTCCTGTGTCTTTGTCTGCTTTATGAGACCTGTTTCTCTCAGAGGCGTGACTGTCCTTGTTGGAATATGAATCACTTTTAAGTCGTCCATCTGTTGATTCAGATAGTTTATGACTTTGATTTTTGTCCTCTTTCTGTTTAGACTTGTGTTTGTCTGAATCACTGTGCTGGCCTGATGAACTGCTGCTGGACTTGCTGACAGAGCGCCCAGTATGTTTGTCGGGTATATCACCTCCTCTCGAAGAACTTTTAGAATGACTATGAGAAGATGCTTTAGAAGCTTGTGTCTCAATGCAGGACCCAATGGGCTGACTGGCTGGACTTTCTGTCCTTGAAGAGTGAGGAGGATTCCTTGAAGGCTTATTCTCTCTGGGAGGTGAAGTCGGCAGACGTGGAGGAGGTGGAGGAGGTGGAGGAGGTGGTGGAGGACCGGATGGAAGCGGAGGATTCGACAGTGGGCGAGGAGGAGGAGGAGGGAGCCTACTGCTGTGAGACTGATAGTGATGACGACCTTTCTCTGACCTGATGAAAACAAAGTTTAAACAACAGATTTATGTTTGAACGCAGATCAAATCATAGAGATAGCTACAGGACACATTGGTAAGGACCATACAGTTATGACGCACGCACACGCACACACACACATATACTTTTAAACGTACTGTTGATTCAGCCTCTGAATCTCTGTGTCTTTACGTGTCACTTCCTGTCTCGCTGTTTGTAAAAGTGCAGAGATGTTCTTTTTGAGGCGGTAGTTCTCAGTGTTTAACCCTGTGTTCTGTTCAAAAAGAAAGGGAGAGAGTAGCTTAGCGTTTATTTCACAACTGTAATATACTCTGTTATTCAACACAATAAAGCAATTTTAATGTAGACACAAGACCTTTATAGATTATCAACTAATTTCAGAATTAGACACATTTTAAAGTAAAAATAATCGTCCGTATAAAGATGATAATATTGGGGGGGGGATCAATAATGTACACCTTTTCATCAGCAGAAAAAATACAGAAAATAAAACAAACCTGCATCTCCATCTGCTCCAGTCTCCTGTGCAACTCTTTGATTTGGGTTTGAGCTGCTTGGAATCTGGACTTCAGCTGCAAACACACAAAAAGAAGAGGGTGTGAGATGTGTAAGAAGTACTTATTTTTTATATCCCTTTCACGACCTCTGCTACTGTTTGCACTGCTCTACTATTTGACTTAAACCTTGGAGAAATCCACTATCACCTATTTACATCACAGTGATCACTGCTATGCACTGTCCAACCTGCAGAAAAAACTGTGTTGGGAAAAGGCTGCAGAAATCAAAACACCAACAGCAAACACATATTTATCTCCAACCTCTTATTCAGAATAAAATGCACATTATGACTAGTAAGAAGAGAGAAAGGAATCCTGAGGCACATGGAAACTCACATCTGTGTACAATGACTCTCTACTCTGTTGTTCCTCTGTGACAATTTCTTCATATAGATCCATAGAATCTTTCAGTTGAGATGCATTTGGAGTTGAGTTCTCTGTAATAAACAAAAATAAGACAATAAATAAGAAAAAACATCACTCAGCCTCAATGAAGTACAATAGAATGTGTGCTTTTTGGACTTTGTCTATCTGTGTTAATTAATTTTTTTGCAGAGGAAGAATAGAGTGAAACTACAGTAATAAAAGGACTTTTACCTGCATTGCTGTGAAAACCAACATCCAGGTCATCGTAGATATCCACAGAATCTTCATTAACATTGACATCAGACACAGACACTATGGGAATAATACATGTTTTACATATAAATGCATTTCATTGGTTATGTACAGCCACACTTTATCCACATTTTTGTGCCTGAGAAATGGAATGAAACCACTGCTCATCCAGACAATAAACTATATTGTGCTGTACCTTTTTTGACATCTCATAAAGAACAATGTAAAGGTAAAAGTAACAGTCTCTATGTATAATAGAATAATAGATGTGCACTTACGACCAGGAACATCAGTAGTGTCTACGTTCTCCATTGTTCCTAATGTCCCAGTGGCTCAGTTTCTTAAAGAATACCTGGAAACAATGCAAAAGGATAATTAATAACTATTCCCAGTCTACAAATATCCTCTACAAACATAAGGATGCAAACATGTGATGTTGCCACAGGAAATGTTGTTACATTTTATATATATTAAGAAACACTTAAAAATCAAGTCCTAATTAATTCTTACAACTTTGTTAAATTAAATTCCAAACCATTGCTACCAATGTCTGCAGAGCAAACTGCAGTTTGATAGATGTGGTCATATGTCAGACATGATCTAACGCAAAGATGCTATTGGTTGCATTATGGGAAATGTAGGATCAAGTGTTTTTAGCATTTGGGTGCTGCTAATTAAATCCTGATGAGTCATCCAACTGTGTGTACTGTAACAGCATTCACTGTAAATGGAGTCATCTGTTAAATCAGTTCACCACACTGACAAGGAGCATGACCAGAACTACGTCTTTATGTGAATGTATTGCCGTAACAACGTACTTTGATTTGTCAGCTGCTTTATTAAAGGTTCAGTGTGTAGATGTTAGTGACATCTAGAGGTGATGTTACATATTGCAGCTGTCGTACATATTGCATGACAGAGAACCTGTGGTCGCCTTCAGTTGTCATAAAAACTCCAAAGATGTTTAGTCTGTCCAGTTTGGACGACTGTAAAAAAATCATGGCGGCCTCTGTAGAGGACGCACTCCTGATGTAAATATAAAGTATTTAGATATGAAGAGCCCATTGTAAGGTAAATCACTTGTACAGTTTATATGATCACACATTAGTGAAAACATCACTTGTGTTACTTTGTTTTCAATTTCTGCCAAAAGATCCCTTTCTTAATCTCACACCCTGGATCTTTAAGCTAAGCCTTTACACTATGTAGGCTATTATCCATAGTGGGCAAGGAGAAGCTAACAGTGGTGTTGTTAGCATGATGCTAGCCCTATTGTTCACTACTGTCAGAACAAAGAAGGCATCGTTGAACAATGCGCTTCAACAGCAGGCCTGGACTCAGACACGTCCACAGAGAGCTGCTGCTGCACCACAAGGGTCTGACTGGTCGTTGCTTCACTTTGAACCCGCAGTTTAAATGCGATGTTTGACACCCTCAGCTCAGGCTCACATTAACATCACTATGGCTGCCTGCCACAGTCCTGTCCTACCCTCATCGCCCTCACGAGAACACAAGAGCTTGCCCCGGACATTTGCACTTAGATCAGGTGTTAAAAGTTCAAGATGGAGGACAACTCAGTATAAAACACGTTTCACTATTATAAAACTACCCTGGACGGTAGAAACACAGCTCCTGATCCAGCCCCTAGGATTTGTGGGAATGTTTTATTGAGAACTGCATTAATTACATTATACTGAGGATGTTGTAATACAGCTGTTTAGTGTTTTTAGTATTTTGCTGATCTAAACAACAAGTTGCTGTGTGCTGCTTATTAATCTGAGGCTGAGGGAGTCTGTTAGTGGAGCAGTGTGTGTAGTCCATTGTGTAAGTTGAAGAAACTGTGAATCCTCCACACACAACCCACGTCTGTGTAAAAACACGGTAGCTTAACAACAAGCTAAGTATCAATCTGGTGACTTACTTGTTGCTGCGTATTGTTGCGTGTCCTCCCGTTGTTTACAACCGTAATGTCGCGCCAAGACTTTTTAGTGCACAGGAAGTAACGACATTTTCCCGCGGTCTGTCACTGCTCTGGGTGTATTCTTGCAGCTCCTCGATTCCTCCAAAATCATAAAAAAACCTAATAGTCAAACCCCAGATGAGATCATTTACAGCGGGACTGTGCCGCCTCTCGATCTACAACGACCCTCCGACACAATCGGGAGCGTTAACCGGCGGATGAGGAGGTTTTAACCGGGCGAAAGTTGTTTTTTCTCGCGGAGAGAGTAGCGCTGTGCCGGCGCCGCTGTCCGCCTATGTCATCACTGCGCGACGTCCGGGGAGCGACGGGAGGGGAGGTTGTGCAGCCAAAGCCGACCCGGAAGCATTTGTGTCACAGTCACATGTGGACAGGATTTTTAACACCAGTAACGGGAACGTGCTTGTGTGTGTGTGTGTTGTGATACAATCTCAGACACACGCGCGCGTGATGAACCTCACATTTTGCTTTATTTACACTAAACCGGCTTATTGGACGCGCGCGCCTGTTTCCGCTGTAGAACGCAGCTCCACATGCGACAAATGATAGGATGGAGAATTTAGAATTGAGCCTGTCATCACTGGGCACCATATCCAGACATGTTGACAAAAGTCACAACGAACTCAGCCAGTATCTGTCAAAGCAGGTAAGACGTGTTGCTTCCTGGTTTGTGTGGGGGAAAAAATGATGTGTTTACATTTAGTTTTCACTCTGAGACTCAGAAAAACGTGTCATGTGGTAGCACGCAGTAACCATCCCTTCACATGTCAGTAGTCACTGTACTGATCATGTTGTTTTAGTGTGTGTTGTGTGGATACATCTATGCTGCTGCCTCAAGTGTAAATATCTTTAAAGAGATATTGGTTCCTGATAACCAATCAATAGATCAATGGGGATCTTCCTCCTGTCACATGCTCTGCCCTCAGATATGGAGCCAACAGGACAGACAGTGTATTCTGGAGTGCTTGGCTCAGCTGCTGCTGGAGAAGGATTACACCTTGCTGATTGCACGACACCTGCGGCCGCTGATCCTGGACCTGCTGGAGAGGAACGCGGAGAGGGTCAGAGTCGGTGGCAGGATCAACCATGACCTCCACGAGCGCCTGTGCGTGGCCCTCAGCAAGCTCCTCAGCATCAGTCCTGATGCACAGGCGTAAGTGGACCCTCGACCAACTTTTCTTTTCCCCCTCCAGTAAAAAAATGTACAGAATTATCCAAAGCGACTTCCAATTACTGCATTCAACATTTATGAGGGGCCACTTGGGCACGCACATGGGGAAAACTGGGCATCAATCTGCCAACCCTCTGGTTGGAGGACGACCGCCACACAAACAAGTTCTTGATATGATATCAGGTTAAATGTTAATATCCGTCCATCCATTGTCACAGGGGGGCGGTGGTAATTGCTGATACTGCAGATAAATTCGGTTAAATCAGCAAGTGAAATGTAAACAATATGGATACATAATAATGTATTAGAATAGAAAGTAAATACTAGAGAGTAAGTAAGTAAGTTCTGGTCATGAAAGCCAGGCAAAGGATATACATAGAAACACAATGGAAGTCTGGAAACGCAAAACAATTGTGAGCTATATAAATATAGCTTGCATTTTATTTTTTGTCACTGTTTAAGCTCTTTTGTCCCTGTAGGGGTAAAGACTCTGGTTCCCCAGTGATCTTATTGGTCAGTAGTCAGACTGTTCACAGGTTCTGACTTGTTATCTCAAACCTGCTTCGGGCCAGGTTAGAGGTGCAGCGTAATGTACCTTGGTAATTTACACTGTAAGATTTAAATCACTGTTATAATCACTAAAAACCCAAAGTTACCTTGCTAACAACAAATCTTGCTTCACACTACAGGCCTCTGCTTGAGCACAAAATAAACCTAAATAATTAAGGTGGTACGACCAGTTTTTGTCTCAGTGCCCTCCACAACACAGGTGGTAGAGCGTGTCGACCACTAACCAGGTCAATGGTATGATCCCCTGCCTCCTAAATGCTCCTGTCGGCATGCTGAAGTGAATTTGCAAAAAGTACTCCTTTAACTTGTATAGTCCATATTGAATACAAATGCAATTATAAAAAATTGTGTCACCACAAACTAAACACAATGAATAGTGAACATGGGGTTCATGTTGTATACCACTTCCTCCTAAGTTGCTGGACCTTTCCTGTCGCACTGGGGCAGGAACCTGAGCCAGCCTCTTCACCAGCCACCTCCACACTAACTCAATATTGTATTCTTCTCTGTAAGGTTTGCTGCAAAGTACTTCAACAGTGCCCCTCCAGTGTTTCAAAGGCTCTTCTTCACCAGCGAAGAGTCATCGGCTGTCCAGTATGGCCCCAGGAGGATGAAGATGCGTGACCTCATGGGTGCCACTCTACGTTTCCTTCAAAGTGATTGTGCCAAGTTTCGAATGCTCTGGGACTGGAGTCCCTGTGTGTCCCAGCTGCTCACCAGCGACGTCATGGTCCGAGGGTATGTACGGCCATACAGTGAAACTCTTAGAGGACAAGATTACCCTTGATGTCTTTGTAGGTTTAATCTCATTTCAATGATGTTTACAGCAAATCTCCATTTTTATGTAGATATGGCAAGTTTAAAGATTAAAGCTGTCTGACTTCCGACATGTCCTTTGGAGGAACTCTGGAAAATTGTTGTTTTTGTCTGTGTATTTTACATGTGGCACCGCTTCTTCATCCTGACATGTTAGTTTTCTTCTTTTTCTTCCATTCTCGTGTCGACACACCTTCTCTTGCTGAGTTCAAACATCGACTTCTGTGGCTCGCACTTGAACATTTGCGTTCACACATACACCAGGATCTCTGGAGTTCAATGCATGTCTGAAAGCAGCTTATCTGGGATATACATGAAAATGAAATGTGTCTTTATGTTTCAGCCCATTTACTCAAAATTCAACATATATGGCTACATATGTGCCTTATTAACATGATCATCCATCCAGATTTGAGATATGTACAAATCATACATCTGGTTTGGAGTATGTTTATTTTACTGACATGCAAATCTCCATATGTTTAGTGGCTCATTTACTGCCAGGATTGCAGTGAGCACGGATTTAACATCCACAGAATATTTCCACATCCACATTTGCTCATATTTTTCTACAGTTTACTGTCACGGCCATTGTTTTTCTCCTATATCTGTCTCGGTGTTTCACATTTAGCTGTTAGTACAATGTCAGTATTGTCTTATGGCTGTGCAACATGTTTTGCTTCATTTGATAAACAAGATAAACACTGTATCCCCATTGTTTCCTCCAACAGGTACACTGCTCATTGTTTAGCACTGGTCTCTCACATGACTGATAATCAGAAAACCATCTTTCTGAGGAAGGTCCTGGCAAATGAGGAGATCCTGCACATGAAAATTAAGTATGTACCTTTGTTGTTGTTATCCATTATTAAATTAAGGGATGAGCATTATGGAAGATGTGTCCAGATTGTAAGATTTAGGTGAAAGGGATCTATCTCTGGCAGCAATTTAATGTAGAATAATCCTCATGATGTTTTCACTAGTTCATTTCATCTAAATTGTATGAATTGTATTTTTCTTTACTCCAGAAAAGGCCCTTTATATTTAAATACTTTATATTTACATCAAGGGGACCCTCTCTACGGAGGCCGCCATGTTTTTTTACATTAGTCCAGACTGGAAAAACTAAACACCTTTTGAATTTTTATGACAATTAAAGGCTACTACAGTTTCTTTTTGATGTTTGGAAGGAGAGGGTGAGTTGAGGGGTGTTCAGCTGCAACATTCAACACTAGATATCACTTAATTCTACACACTGAACCTTTAAGTTTTGAGGCCACCATTGAAATTTGAGTGCCATTAATGAGTTTTACATAAATATTCCTCCTGTTGAATGATTAATTGTAATGAGTTTATAAATTTGAGGAGAAAGAAAGTTGTGTGGAATTTTAACATATTAACTTTAAGTACCATCAGGTATTGTTGGCATGTACCCAGCTGTAAATTGAAAAGTTAACCAAAATGATGCTTTCTAAGCTGCATGTCTGGACTTTTCGTTTCTTGTTTAGAGCACTGGAAGAAACTCAGCAGCTGGAGGTAGAAAAGGCGCTGGTGTTAGCCAATCAGGGCTCTGTGATGTGGCGCCAGGAGAAGGCTAATAAGTTTACTAGGGGCCAGGTGGTATCTGAGGACCTTTCCCAGAATGTGGTAGCAGTCTGTGGTGTCGTACTACCCAGGATAGTTCCTAGACAGGCTGAACAGGTATGTACCTCTCACATAGATGGGTTGCTGCTGTTTGTTTAAAAAAAAAACCACGCTAATGATGCCCTGTGCTCATAGGTTAACCAGAAGGATCTGGTGCTTGTGGACTCGACCTGCCGTAACCTGAGAAGACTGGCATTGGCTGTAGCTTCCCAGAAGCCTGTGCTCCTCGAGGGTCCTATTGGATGCAGTAAAACTGCCTTGGTAGAGTTTATGGCTGAAATCACCGGACATACGAAAGCTACAGAGCTTCTCAAAGTCCAACTCGGGGATCAAACTGACAGTAAGGTGAGGATTAAAGGAATCAGTCCAAACTTAAAAGCAACACTCCAGCAGTTTTCCACTTTCAATTCAATGAACTCGGTGCAGTTTTCCACAGTGTGAGGCTACATCCACACAACTGTTTTTTTAGATTCAACTCTGCCACGGATATGCAAGGCGTCCAGACATATCCGGCATTTCATATTATTATGATAAATTCAGCATTTTACAATGATACAACTGTTTACATGTGAAGAAGATGAGCTATTATTCGAGCAATTCCTATGTACACTGGCACACACATGTTCTCTTGTTGCCACTGGACAGTGCAAACCCAGTATACATTAGCACTCATGTGATATACTTTTTCAGGCATGTAAGTCTGAGGTTTGGGGAGCAAACACTGGTCTGGACAGAAGTCGTTTTGTTCTGTTCTTTATCTATAACCTGACCTTGGTACTGCTTGGAGGGAGAAGGGAGTATGTGTAGAACTAGACAGGCACTATTCTCCTGTACATATATAATTTAATATACATAATATAAAGTGGTATTAATAATAATGTGTGAGGATAGTCAAAAATTCCTCAACACTATCGAGTTGCATCATGGGAATAGTGGGATCCAGCTCTCTGTACTAGAGACTAAAGGTCAGGATATTACAGCCTCTGCTACTTTGATTTTCTCCATTTTTTAATTTGTCCCATGTGAGTCCCTCCCCTTAATGTAAGTGCAGTATTAAATAGCTGGAGATGCCCCTTTAAATTTTTGAATGGCGATAAGATGAAAGGCTGAACTTTATGTTTGTGTCACAGATGCTGCTTGGGATGTACCGTTGTACCGATATTCCAGGGAAGTTTGTGTGGCAGCCAGGAACACTGACACAAGCTGTATCTAAAGGCCACTGGATCCTCTTGGAGGACATAGACCATGCACCTCTGGATGTGGTGAGTTAAAAGATGTTGAGAACTGCAAAGAATTACACTTGCATGTTTCTCTTGTGCTCACTCTGTATACCTCAAACTGGGTTTTTCACGATATGTTTTCTGAGTCGCTTTTTATTTAACAGAGGATTTTTAGTATTAAACCTTCTGTAACACACCCACAATCCACAACTGGACCAAAATGTCCCTTTTTCAGATATCTGTGCTGCTGCCTTTGATGGAGAATAAAAAGCTGATGATTCCAGGACGGGAGGATTGCATCGACGTCGCACCTGGATTTCAGTTCTTTGCAACAAGAAGGTAAGAATATCATTGCCTTCGAAATCTGAAGTATGTGTGCACAAGCAGCTCGGTGAAACTCTGCACATACTGGTCTGACAGCATGTGCAGAGTGTGAGGAGATGACATGTTCTCTGACCTTTACTGAAGGAAGAGTCTCGACCTGTTCTCAAAAAGCCACAGTAGCATTCTCTTTGCTGCATCTGCCCTCTCCTCAAATATCTCAAAGAACTCAGTCTTTTGTGCATCTTTGTTTTTTAAAATCAACAGGCTACATGTGAGAACATGTATTATTTTTTTTTAACTTGCATGCTTCTGCATAATAGTCATCTGTTTATGTTAATCAACCTTTGTAACCCCGTGTGTCTGCATAATCCGAAGCAAAATATTGTTTTCATTGTGTATCTACTAAATAACTCAACTAAGCATGGATGGATTTTCACAAATATTAGTGCTAACATTACTGGGGATGGTTTCTCCAGAGGATTCACTTTTGGAGCTGATCCTTCAAAGGACATGGTTAACGATAATATGGTGCAGAAATATGTTTGTTACAATCTAAAGGTTATAATGATCAGAAAAAGTTTTCCCTATCTTATGATGTTAAATGTTAAGTGATGTCTTGTAGAAGTCACAAAATTATTTCATGGATTTTTCAAAAATGCATCTCCCAGGTATGTCTGAATCCTACAGGAATAGAGCTAAAGCTTATATTGATTGAAAAATCATTCATGATCATATGCTCGTTATGATGTCACTATGAATTCATGTTATATACGAGGTTTCAGACGTGCACTGAACTCCAGAGATTCTCTGCACTGTCTCTGGAGGAGGTGCATGTGTGAGCACACATGTCTGAATAAGAGCCTTTGGATTATCTGCAGAATCCGATGTGAGCGCACAGCAGGGCATCCCCTGCTGGATTCACCATGAGCGACTGGGGTAGTTGATGATGCTTCTAACAAGCAAACAGATGCAAAAAAAAAAAAAAAAGGAAACAAATATTTCACATGTGGAAGATACAGACAAAAGCTGTCAAAAGAATTTGTGGTGATAACAACCGATGCCAGAAGTGAAGTAATATATAAACCTTTGCAACCAACACGATTAGTGACACAACCAATCAGTCATCATATGCTATAAATGAAGTTATGATGACCACATTATTAAATGGCACTATTACAAAATGAAAAAGTTAGCTTTGCCTACTGGGCTATATAAAGCACGTGTGCATGGTATGTGTCACCCCTCTAATGCTTTTCATTTCCACTGTGTGTATGAAAATTGAGAGGCACTAGAAGTCAGATTCCTGTAAGTTTGCAAAACAAACTTGACCAGTAGAGCTGATTCTGATTCTGAATGAAAACACAAAAACGTGACACATAAGCAGTTGTGTGATCAGTAAAAAAGGAGAGCGTGAGAGACGTTCAGCATCGCCACACACCTGGAAAATATATGGGCATGATTGTGAGACTCTGTTGTTTAAAAGGACAAAAGACATGAGAAATTAACAACAAGGTCTTGCTTGTGAACTGCAGGACGTACTACAGTGGAGGCAGCTGGCACAAGCCTCAGAACTCTCATGCAGCGCTGCTGGACAAGTACTGGACCAAGCTGCAAATGGGCAACATGACACGTGAAGAGCTGAAGAAGGTGAGTGTTTATGGCAGTAATCTAGACCGTTTATGGTCAATTTGTTTTAAGTTGTTACCTTAATCATATTTTATTTTTCAGCAGTTTCCCATTTCTCTGTAAAGAATCCCCACAAATACAGTATTTTGTCTGTCATGTTGCTGCTTTTACTGCTGGATATTACATTTCTATCTCACGTCTCTGCATGCAGGTGCTCGTCAGCAGGTATCCCAGGCTGACAGTGGTGGCAGACCGTCTCCTGGATATCTACTGCCAGCTGACTGGGGAGCGGCACTCTGACCCGGACACAAGCAGCCTCCAAACCTCTGACAACTCCCAGCAGCACAACTCTGAGAACAAAAGCACAACAACGCTGGAGGGGAGAGCCCTGTCACTGAGGTCAGGCCCAGCACACCACTCCGTCTGCTCTCTTCACTTTAGTTTGTGCTGTAAATAAAGATTTGACACAGTAAAGCAATATCTATGGAAGCATATAGCAATCACTTCAGAAAAAAAATACTGTGTTTTTCTGAATTAACAAGACACGTAGTTGCAATCAAGAATGAAACATATATTATAGATTATACCCAATTACAGGTATAATCTATAGTAATCTTTTTATAGTAGAAGTTTAAAACAATGACTAGACTTGTTCAGGTGTGTATATCCTAAACCTTTCCTGTCATTTTCATACTTAAAGAAATCAGTACTTTTAATCAAGGTGACAGTTCGATTCCTTCAGTTGCCTTTCAGTGGCGTCACATCCTTTTTGCACACACATTAAGATTGTGTTTGTCCACCAGAGGCCTCACAATTAAAGTTTTAATCCAGTTTCAAGCCACATGATTCACTTTTTAAATCTTTTTTAAGTAGATGAAGGATTTTAGTTGTCAACTTCAGAATCTTGCGTTATCAGAGAAACAAGCGGAGCTCACCTCGCAGCCCCTCTTGTTGTCTTGTGTCCGTCGAACAGTATCTGATCGGTTGGCAGCTGGTTAAGAAGTGAGCCTCAGACCTGTTTGGATTGCTGTGCTTATCTCAGATGTTGTGTTGGTCTAGAGATCTCAAACCAGGCCAGGTTTGTGGACGATTTCAAATACTGTCATTATTGACAAGAAGCTAGTAGCAAATATGTATTTACAAAGCTGTGAAAACCTGGAAAACCCCTCAGGTTAATTCCACAATGCTGAAATTAAAAAATGAAACTATTTCAGTTGTATAATTAAGGCCAAACTAAATTGAATCACATTGCATCGTAAGTAATAAACTGAACATGCAAGTTCATACCATCCTGAGCAACCATGCAGAAACATTGGATTGGATGTATCTCAATGCTGTGACTCCCGCCTGTGATCATCAGGGCAAACATACAGACCTTCAGCCCCCTTGGTCTTCCATCTGTCAGACCCCCCACCCCAGTCAAATCTACCAGCCGACTTTAATTAGCTTTCCACTAGCTGCTGCTGCGTTCGATACATTATTGATTGGACTGCCCTCTGGACGATGGGCTGAAACGGTTCTCCAGGTCACACAGGGGGAAAGTTTATTAGGTAACAGATTTGTAAACACCTCTTCTCTCCGAGAGACCACTCAACGTACCTAATGCATTTTGAATTTTCCACCTGTCGACAGTGAGGTCCTCAGATGGTTTGTTGATGTTGATTTGTCCATAAGTCAGCGTGTCTGTAGTTTCCACGCTCGCTCGATCCGTGTAATTGACTTTATAGCTCGGATTGTGATGCTCATATGTGCTGATGGAGGTCATGAGGTCCAGGTTACAGATGCATTTACTTTAGGTTTACATTAATACTTTTGTTTTACAATATAAGCCTGCACTGTAGCCTATAATAAAATTATCATTATAATAAAATTACTAATGTTGCAGAACTACTTATTTTATAAAATCCAAGTGTGTTTTCATCATGTTGGAGAGCTGTTGCCTATGTGATACCTGAATAACTTGTATGATGAGTTCATTTATGGGATTGTAAATAACATCTCTCGCTCCGCTGCTCATTTACTACCCAGGAATTACGCGCTGTCCCTTGTAGTCATCAAAAATGTATAAAAATGTTCATTCCACAGGGACTTACTGAAATGGTGCGAGCGGATCAGTGTCAACTTTGACAGCACTTCCTCTGCTACAGCACAACATGTCTTCCAAGAGGTTTGTGGATTTACTGATTTAAAAGAAAAAAAATAAAGAGATAAATATCTATCTTACTGTTGGAAAACAGTATTCAGTTGTATTTGTTTAGCTCAGTCATAAAGTTCTGAAATACCCACTCCTCTGAGGAACAGCTGCTGTGATCCAAAGTGTATTTATCTTTGCAAATGTCTTTTCAGGCTCTTGACTGCTTCACGGCCATGTTGTCTCACCCTGAAAGTCGACTGCGAATGGCTGAGATCATCGGAATCAAGCTCAACATCTCCAAAGAAAAGGTTTTGACCAGTATTTGTTTTGTAAAATATTTGAGTGTCGTGGGACAAATGACTGCAGACGCCCTCCTGCAGTACATTCCGATTAAACAGACATTAATGTGCTCCCTTTAAGAAAACACCAGCCCCTTTTTATTGTAAAATGGCTGTAATCAATGTTATCTGTCAAAAGTTCTATGATAATCAATATTTCATACAAAAGACCTGGCTTCTGTTTGTTTCAGGCCCAGCACTTTTGCCAGATGTACCAGCCTGGCATCTCTGTGACTGAGCTGGACGTCTCTGTCGGAAGAGTAACTCTGGGTCGGAAGCAGACCGAAGCTGTGCAGCTGAACGTGTAAGTGGGACATTCTGCCCCCTTTGACCTCTATTTACACCATATATTCATCGGCCAGTTGCTGTGCCACCATTCATCCACTGACAGCGACCAAACAGATCCCCTGCTGCTAAATTGAATAAACATTGAATTGATTTTAAACCACATTATGGTAAACAAAGCCCACTAATGGTTCGACCATCAGGATATTCCCAAATAGTAACATCGATTCTTTCCCAAATCCAATATGAATGGGTGTCAAACAAAGTAAGCGTTAATTATTTTGTAGAGAGCAATAACTGAGACCAATGTGTCATGTGGTAACAAGAGCATGATAGTAATGTGAAGGTATTCCATTTGACTTTAACCCAATTCAGGTGTATGCAGACTAAACGTATATGTGCAGATTGATTTAAATAAAGAATAAATAGGATTTGTGATTTCCAATAACTGATTGCATATTAAGTACTTCATATTTTCTACATACAAATGCTGTATTTGCAACCTCCTGCAGCCCATTGTGTACTAACTGACTCTTGTTGTCATGAACAGGGAGAACCAGACGTTTGCTGCCACTCGACCCTCTGCTGTGCTGCTGGAACAGCTGGCAGTGTGCGTGCTCAAGGGGGAACCGGTTCTCCTGGTGGGAGAGACAGGAACTGGAAAGACGTCCACTGTACAACATCTGGCCAGAGTTACAGGTGAGCCAGGGTTTATAGGAGCCATGTGGGTGGGTGTGCTTGTGGGACTAGTCGTCCACCAATCCTAACGTTGCTGGTTTAACCCCTGTCAATGATTCCAATATGCTCTTTTGTACGTTCAACCCAGGACACAGACTGCGTGTTGTGAACATGAACCAGCAGAGTGACACTGCTGACCTCCTTGGAGGGTGAGTGACCTACATGTATTGGCCTTAAACATTTAGCATCACTTGAAATGTATAAGCCTAGATACATTTTGCACAAGGGAACAAAATGGCATCACACTCAAGCAAAAAGTGAGCAGACTGAAAAACAGCAGCACACCTCCAGTTTGAAACTTTCCTGTGTAATGTAGCTACAAGCCAGTGGACCACAAGCAGATCCTGCTCCCTCTGCGGGAGGCCTTCGAGGACCTGTTCTCCCAGACCTACTCGAGGAAGCAGAACCTGACCTTCCTGGGTCACGTTCAGACCTGCTTCAGGGGGAAACGCTGGCAGGATCTGCTCAAACTCATGGACCACGTCTGCAAGTCTGCTCTGACCAAGGAGCTGCAGGAGAAATCTAACGGTAGTAATCAGTGATAATGGTCAGTGCAGTGACTCCTCTAGCATGATTTAAGACTAATGTTTGGTGTTTGTGTCTGTGCAGCTTTGTTGCTGCAGGAGCAGTGGGAGGCTCTGACTGCAAAACTGAGTCAAACCCAGCAGCAGATCAGAGTCTGTGAGACCGCCATGGTCTTTGCCTTTGTGGAGGTAATGAGCTCGAAAATCTCCTCTAGGGGCTCCCTGTATCCTGCACATACCACATAACTGCAGTGTCCGTTGGGTTATTCTGACCAGGGACCTGCTAAATGTCATACCCTGTTTCTCCCCTTGTCTTGTCCGTGACTTTCTGTTCAGTCAAAGAAACTAAAAAGATATCAGACATTCATTTCTGTATTTAAATATATGCATATTTTGCACCAGCATATGTATATATACATATTTTGAGGTGGAGGTCAATATTTAAAAATACCGGATAAGTACATTATATGCAGACATAAATGTAAAACTAATTGAAAATCTGATAATTATCTGACCAGATACCCAACGAATTGCATCATGTATCATAAGTGCTTGAAACTTAAATACTGGACGGTGTATCTCCTTACACCCTTTTGCACAGAAGCTCCCACACACACGCACATAAGGACAATTGTGTATGAGCTGAACTTTATTCCAACATCCATGATGTAGCATCTCTGATCCCTGTGTGTTCCTCTGCAGGGAACATTAGCTCAGGCAGTGAAGAAGGGTCACTGGGTTCTGCTGGATGAGATCAACCTTGCAGCAGCCGAGACCTTGGAGTGTCTGAGCGGACTCCTGGAGGGCAGCGCCGGGTCTCTGGTGCTGCTGGACCGAGGAGACACTGGTGAGGACCGCCACCACTGAAACTGAATCTGAAACGAGAACCTTGTCTTCTTCTCTAATCCTCCAGAATCCTGTGTTCATTGAGCTTCCAATATAAGTACCCACATTTAAAATATAATCGTGTAGTGAAAATCTGAAAATAGCGGCCACATTATGGAATACCAAAGATGAACAGAATGCTTTTTTGTTTGACTAAACCCACACTGATTTTCACCTCGATTTCCGTCACTGTTTTCAGCAATAATCCTGAAAATGTTGATAATATTGTTTTTATTTCTGTTTCTTTTAATCTAAGAGCCCCTGGTTCGACACCCAGACTTTCGACTCTTTGCTTGCATGAACCCGGCTACGGACGTTGGCAAGAGGAACCTGCCTCTGGGCCTCAGAAACAGGTGAGACTGAAAATCTTTATCTCATGAGCTTTATGCTAGATTATTTACAATAACAGACATGCAAAACTGTTTTAAAAGGAAAAATATCTAACAAAGCTGTAATGGTGATGATAATTATAACATTTCTTCTTCTGTGTGTTAAAGGTTCACTGAGCTGTATGTGGATGAGCTGGAGAATGAGGGAGACCTACGGATTCTGGTTTCAGACTACCTCAAGTATTTGAATCCACATAGAAATGTCATCAGCGGCATCATAAGGTTAGGCTTTAATGTAGCAAGTTAACACTGTTTTATTCAGTGTCCAAAGCAAACATGGCTGTAAGTGCTTTTTAAAGTCTTTGGTATACCTGATTTCATCATGCTGTTAGGGCTGCATGAGCCTGAGAGCTACTCATCAGCTGAAAATGCTTCTTTACCTCTCCTGCATGTGTTTTTGTTTCAAGAAGCATATCATTTGTACTTTTATATTTTTGCAATTAATGCACTCTGAAAAGCTTCAACTAATTCAATGCATTACATTGAAATTCAAATATAAGGCAGTGAAGTGTCAGATCTCGACCAGGAAAATTTCAGTTTTATTTATCATTAAACAATCAACCCAAGGTCTTACTTGTGGGAGACATCGAGATCTTTAATCTAAATAACAATCATCTTCTTACCAAACCTTAACTTTTAGCTTTTTATGCCTTTTTGCTGCATTTTTCAGATTTCCTGAACTCAAAGTTGTTGCCTAATGTCTCTATCGTTATTCTTAATATTTGTGTATGTGTGCAGTTTTTACTTGGCAGTACGAAAAGAGGCCAACTCACATCTGGTGGACGGGACAGGGCACAGGCCCCACTACAGCCTGCGGACTCTGTGCAGGGCGCTGAAGTATGTCGCAGCAAACCCCTGCAACAGTGTGCAGCGCTCACTCTACGAGGTAGGGACGAGAGAGAAATAATCTCTTCGTGCTTTTTTGCTGAAATCTAAAAAATAGATCATCTGCAGTGTCATTTGGTTTTCTGTGCTGAGCGTTTGAGACACAGCCTGTTCAATTTGAAATTGTCTCTGCTCGTTGCAGGGTTTCTGCCTGAGCTTCTTGACTCAGCTGGACAGAAGCTCTCACCCTCTGGTCCAGAAACTGGTGTGTCAGCACATCCTGATGGGGAACATCAAGTGTCTCAAACAAGTAAGACATCCTAAGAGCCGCTTCTTTTTTAAATTGCCGTCATATTTTGTATTGTACAGTACTCAAATAGTGGCGAGAGAGATTAATGAAACTGCTGGAAGACCCAGACCTGTTCCTGAAACAGGCTCACTGTATGTTAGAGATGATCAATATTTTTATAGACACTTTATATTTGTATCTTATCATATTGAAGCAATGATTTTTGATGTGTTATTTTTATATTATTCTGCTACTTCCATTCCATCAATCATGCAAGTGTTGATCTGTAACAGTAACTTAACAGGGATCAAGAAAACTGTATTTGTCTAAGAACAGTGTTCTTGTGTTTTATTTTAATTTCAATGGTGAAACATGCAAGATGCTAATTGTAGTATGAACGATCGAGTGCAATATTTCTACTGGTTTTAACCTGGCCTTTATTAGCAAGCACCCTTTATTTGAAAGTGCTGTTTTATAAACTCGACCATTGTTTGTTTTGCAATGCTTTTATTTGAGTATTTACAATGTTAGAAGAATTGGGATCAATATCGTTAGTAATGGTGTAATATGCCTACTATATATGCATGTATATTTATTGCAGTTTTCTTTGTCCAAACTTTAGTCACTGTGATTAGTTCATTTTTTCTAGGCAATAGGAAACTAATTAAAAAAATATTTTCTAGCTAATCATTTTCTAGCATCTTTCTGACTCAAAAACATTTTAATAATTATTTAATTCTAAAGTTGCCCACTTTGTCAACACCTATTTATACTTTGTTGGTTATTTGTGCACAGATTATGAAAACAGTTGTGTTGTGTTTCCTACAGCCCATCCCGGCACCCCCAGGTCAGCGCTGTGTGGAGGTAGAGGGCTACTGGGTGTCCCAAGGGGAGATGGAGCCTGCTCTAGACCCCAGCTACATCCTCACCCCCTCAGTCAAGCTCAACCTTCGTGACCTCGCCAGAGTCGTATCTACAGGGTAGGAAAACTGTCCCCCCAGTTTGACCCCAGTCCCCAAATCAATGAGTTCATTTATCAGTGTCAAAACGTTCAGTTCGACACAGGCAATTCTTGCCCTTAAGGGACGAATGCATCAGAGTGCACCAGGATAAAAATGTGTCTGGACTGAGTTCCCCTGCAGTCGATTGACCTGTCGCACAGCAAATGATTAGTTTTGATGCTTCTGTTTGGTTTCTGAGGACAGCTGACATCCTGATCTCATAAGAGCATTAGTTAGGTCTCCTGCTGATGTTGCTGAGGACAAATGCTCATGTCACTGTCACTGTTCCATTTCACCCAAAAGCTGGTTGGATTTGAGGTCAGGGCTCTGCTGGCCAGTCAGGGTTTTCTACACCAATCTCTGAAAACCATCTATACGGTGCTGATTTTGTGCAAAGGGTTTACTGTCATGTTTAAAGCGAAAGGAGACAAATACAAGCTGTCAGCAAAAAGATGGAAGAACACCACTGTCTGGAATATTATCATATGCTGGAAGTAACCATTAGAAGATGGTCAGCTGTGGCCATAAAGGGATTGCATGTTGCATGGTCAGCAACAATGATAGACTGTGTAATCCAATCAATTTTTCCATGTCCCACAATGGAAAGTCTCTTCTCTGGTCAGCAAGGAACCAGAGTTTAGGTGATGCTGAAATCACATTTAGGGAGTGAAAAAAAACTTATCTCAACACAATTTTTCCTGAGATTTAACCCTTATGACAAAGAGATGTAATTGAGGCTTGATATTTAACAGACAAAAAAATAAACATATACATGTAGACATGCACATTGTTCTGGATTGTTTTGCAAAATCAAAACTTTCAAATCAGCAAATGCAGATTATAATAATATCATTAATGCAGTGTACAAAAAAACATTTGATTTGAGGATTGTTGAGGATTTGGACTGCCTACCCCCCTAAAGCCGCTGAGGCTCAACCTCTGTCTGGATGGCTTTTACTGTGAAAATATCTGTGCAGGAAGTGCTGAGTTTCAGTGATGATACGATCATTTGATCATTTGTTGAGATACATGTAATTCTCTTTACATAAACAATATAGGGAGAAATATTGAGCATTAAAACTATATCGTTTTGCTCATTTGCTTTTTGACAACACACTCTTCCACAACACACCACTCAATAGCCGTTTAATGTGGCACAGACAGGTTACAACATCATTCTACACTGAGCTCATGACTAATCAGTAGCCTGTCCTCTGTCTCCTAATTGGTTGGCATCACAGGACTCACCCAGTGCTGATCCAGGGAGAGACGTCTGTGGGGAAGACCAGTCTGATTTGCTGGCTGGCTGCAGCCTCAGGGAACCAGTGTGTGAGAATCAACAACCACGAACACACCGACATCCAGGAGTACATAGGCTGCTACTCATCAGATGACAGGGGCAAGCTGATGTTCAAAGAGGGTACGAGCACTCATGCAGCCGCCGACTGTGACATCATAAAGGGCTGTCACACGCTCACACATGCACTTCATATCAAATGCATTTCTGTTAGACCTTTATATGTCAAACCTTTATATCTGGGTGAGATATAATGTGAATAAAATCAAGTGCTAATAAGGGTGAATTTTAGAAGACAAATTAAACAATGATATCAAAGAAATGTGTCAAATATATACGATATATACGTATATTGACGTTTTTTGCAGAAGATATAATAAAATATGCCACATTTTCTTGTAATACAAAAATGGGATGGGATGGGATGGATTGTGAAGTCCAACAACAGGCAGCAGAATGAAGTTGATGCTAGGTTCTAGCTTTGTGAGTAATGAGGAGTCAAACTGTGTTTACACATTGGTTTTATATCTCTTCTTATTATAACCAAAAGTAGATCAGACATCCTTACATAATCCTTACTTATCACTTGAGGTACCATTGAAAACACAGAGGTCATAGCGTCAGTCCTGAAATGTAGTATTCATAGGATGAACTAGGGCTGCAACCAACAGATTGGTCCCAGTTTTTGGTCGATTAAAATCAATCAGAATTTCTAAAAGCCTTAGGGGATGTAATCAAATGTCTTGTTATGTCCAAGCAATAGTCAAACCTCATTGTAATATTTATCTAAAGAAAAGCAGGACATTTTCCCATTTGACATTTTCTGCATCCATAAAATCAGATTTTCGTGATTATTACTTTACATGTTGGCAAACACTTTTATCTAAAGTACCTTACGATTAGTGCATTCAACATCTACGAGGCCATTTAAGGACACTTCGGCATGCAGATGGGGAAGACTGAGGATAGAACCGCCAACCTTCTGGTTGGAGGACATCCACTCTATCCCTTTGCCACAGCTGTTTGGTGAAAGGGATCTATTGGCAGAATTTGAATATAGAATAATCCTAGTAATGTTTTTACTAGTGTGTTTCATCTAAATTGTATGAATTGTAGTTTTTTTTTTACCCTAAAATGAGCACTATATTCAAAGACTTTATACTTACGTCAAGATAGGGTCCTCTACTGTGGCTGCCATGTTGTTTTACAGTTGTCCAAACAGGACAAACTATACACCTTTTGAGTTTTTATGACAACTGGGTTCTTTTTCATGTTCAGGTATTCAGCCGCAGCATACAACTTCACCACTAGATGTCACTCAATTCTACACACTGAACCTTTAAAACATATATTTATCATTTACAATGAACATAATCTTTCTCATAATTAGACTTGAATGGTGACAGAAATTCAAATTTTGTCTGATTCAAAACCTTACAAACTAAGGTGTGAAAGATGGGGTGCCCGCTAGCGTACCTGGTAAAGCAGGCGGTCATATAGAGACGCTTGAGCCCTCCTGCAGCAGGTGCATGTCTTGCTGCATGTGTTCCCCAATCTCTCGCCCCATTTCATGCTTACCCTGTCCTACCAATAAAGACAAAAAATGCCCAAACAAATATCCTTAAAAAAAACTATTACATGAGCCTCCGGTATGTAAGTTTATTCCATTTGTTTAAACTTCCCACTGTTACACACTGTGGCAGCATATCCCATGTCTACTACCACCATCCCTGAGTAATATGTTGCTTGTGTTTGCCTCAGGCGTTCTGATCGATGCCATGAGGAAAGGCTACTGGATCATCCTGGATGAGTTGAACCTCGCCCCCACCGATGTCCTGGAGGCTCTCAACAGACTCCTGGACGACAACAGGGAGCTGTTTGTGGCTGAGACACAGGAAGTCATCAAGGCGCACCCCAGATTTAAGCTGTTTGCTACCCAGAATCCCCCTGGTCTCTACGGTGGTAGAAAGGTAAACCATTCATTCAGCATTGGAAGAATTCTCTTATTGTCTGATTGTCTTAAGCATAATTTATTGATATTATTGATAATGGTATATACAGCTCAGTGAATGTAAAAGAAAATGCTTCTCAAAACTCATATTCACTAACTTTTCTCCTTCCAACCTCCAGGTGCTCTCCAGGGCTTTCAGGAACCGCTTTGTGGAGCTGCACTTTGATGAGCTGCCCAGTGGAGAGCTGGAGACTATTCTCAACCAGAGGTGCAGCTTGCCTCCATCCTACTGCACCAAGCTGGTCAATGTCATGCTACACCTTCAGGTAACAGTACATTCCTGAAAGTCATCGTTGGACTGCCTGTCTACCTCTCTCTGTTATTATCAGCTATCTTCTTTGGGCCGTCCTGACTGTGTGTGTTAAATGCGTTTCCCCCATCCAGTCTCTACGCAGGGGATCCTCTGTGTTTGCGGGGAAACATGGCTTCATCACCCTCAGAGACCTGTTCCGCTGGGCAGATCGTTACCGGCTGGAGGAGCAGACGGAGGCCTCTCGGGACTGGCTGCAGCATTTGGCTGATGACGGTGAGGCTTCTCTGACTTTTCTCTCTGATGACCAGTCGATGCCTGTGCTCCACTCAAACGCTAAATAAAGCTGTTGTCATCACCTCCAGGGTACATGCTGCTGGCAGGGCGTGTCAGGAAGCCAGAAGAAGAGGCCACCCTCCTGTCCATCCTGGAGAAGCACTTCAAGAGGACGGTGAACCCTGAAAGCCTGTTCTCTCAGAAACAGGTGACCAGCCAGTTCAGTAAGTACAACACCTCTGGTCCACAGATACCTCACTCTGTCACACCAGATAGTATTCATATTATATTTATATAAATATAGTAAATGAATATTGACTTCATTGAGCTGAGTTACAGGAAACTAAATTTAACGGGGGTTAACTTGTGTCTTAAGATTGTGTTGATTTCTTGACAGACCTGTAAAATAGCTGACATGCAATGTATAGAAAAATAATGAAAGTTAAGTAAATCATTAAAATTTATACAAGGTAACTCTATAAAGAAACTATATAAAGCTATATGAGCCACACATGAGTAAAAAAGAAAATACAGTTTCATTTGAAGAAAAACATTGAGCAGAAAATCTTCACAGCAGATAAACCAGATAAAATGAATGCAAAGTTTTCTAACTTCAATCTGCATCATAGACTTGTTTTCTAAAAATAAGAATTCAAGAAATATCTTTCTGTCTGGCATGTGTAGAATGGTCACTGCACCAGGTCTGATAACTAGCACAATAATTCAGTTATCAGTTGGAATTATTTTTTTTACAGGTAATTAGCTTAACCTAGAAGTCTTTAAAAGTAAATAAGCTAATTGTGTGTTGATTACAGACTTAGAATAAACGACTCAGCTGAAAATCAAAGCAGAGATTGGAGCATGTTGATCGTCTGATGAACACAGTGTGATGTTGTGTTGATGCTCTGGTTGCCAGGTCCCTTCATCGACAGCATTGCTGGAGTTCCAGAGGAGTTCCGCCATGTGGTGTGGACACACAGCATGAGGAGACTGGCTGTGCTTGTCGGACGTGCACTGCGATTCGGAGAGTCTGTCCTACTCGTAGGAGACACCGGGTAAGAAATACATTTGAATAATGTATAATATATATGGAAATCAGAAAATTGGACATGAGGTAAAAGCAAAGCAAACTGCAAGTCCAACTTTCGCAATAAAATAAAATATTTTTTGATTTCCATTTTTGAGATAATACTCTTTACCCCTCTCTACCAGATGTGGAAAGACAACAATCTGCCAGCTGTTTGCTGCTTTGGTTGGCCAGAAGTTTTATTCAGTCAATTGTCACCTGCACATGGAGACGTCTGACTTCTTGGGAGGCCTGCGACCTGTCAGACACACACATCAGGTACTTCCATGGATACAGGATAACCTTATCTCTGAGGCTTACTGTCATTTAAGTAGAAATATAGAAAGGACAACAAACCTGAAACATTTAATGTGATTTAATATAAATACATGAATTTAATTTAATTCAACACTCTTCATGCTCAGTTTCAGCAAATTCAGTTTGAACTTCTCAGGAAGTCTCAGCTTTGATCTGAGTAACTTCTTGTCACTATAGAAATAACCATGTGATGAATGCAGCCCTATTAGTTTAGTTTTTAAAAAGTAGTGACTGTCTGAAGTCTTTGACTGACGTCCCAGACACTTCAAATCCTTCCTGGTGATTCTCTCTCAGAGCTTCACTGCAGCCTCTCTCAGCTCTTGCTTATTATTGGGTGTCTCTCTCTTGAGTCTGGTTGAGTAACCAACTGTGATGTGGTGACTTACTTTGCAAGTCAAAAATATTCCACCTCTTCACCTTGAAAAGCTTTTTGGTTGAATGCTTCTGTTAACCACTCTGGGGAGAATAACTAAATGATTGTGTGTAGCCGGATGGTGAAGACTGCAGGCTGTTTCAGTGGCACGATGGCCCCTTGGTGCTGGCCATGAAGGAGGGGGGAGTGTTCCTCATGGATGAGATCTCCCTGGCTGACGACTCAGTGCTTGAAAGACTGAACAGGTACACACACACACACACACACACACACACACACACACACACACACACACACACACACACAAATCATTATAATGATTATTTGTATTTACCTATTTCTACCATTTATACATGCACATTAAAGAAGGTAGTCATGTTTGGATCAAGTCTCTTTCTTTAATGCAGCCAGTCACATTTGTAATTCATGAGGTGGGGTGGACTGTGTAAATGTCAAATTTCATTGCAATCTATCTAGTTGTTGGACTTACTGATGCACACAGTTGGATCAGACATGACGTTTGGTGCCACAAAAAACACCTCAGCATTTTTACACTTTTAGTGCACCTTGATGACTTGATGAGTTAATAAGGCTTGTATGTAGCACAGTGCACTTGTATGACACTTTTACCCCCTCACCCAAAATAATCCCTCCAAGACACAAACGGAAAAGCCCCTGAAAATGTGTTGTTTGTGTGCAGTGTTCTGGAGACAGAGAAGTCCCTGGTGTTGGCAGAGAAGGGCAGTGGGGACAATGACGACGTGGAGCTGATCAGAGCAGTAGCACGTTTCCGCCTGGTTGCCACCATGAACCCTGGAGGAGACTTTGGCAAGAAGGAGGTAATTAAAAAAACAAAAAGAATATATTCACTTTGATATCCAAGGATTTAAAAAAAATAAAAATAAAAACTGCCTTTAAAATGCTCAAATACTGAAATGCTGGGAATGCAGACTTGATCACGAAATGTGGATGTTTTTTACTATGTATTAAAACGCATGAATGTGTTTTAAGAGAAACCTGATAAAACTTGTCACAGGCCGAGTCTTATTATTGTGCATGTCTGTTTTTCGAACAGCTCTCTCCTGCTCTCAGGAACCGTTTTACAGAGATCTGGTGTCCTCAGAGCAACAGTCGCAGTGACATGGTTCAGATCATCCAACACAACCTGCGCTCCGGCCTCTCACTAGATGGTAAAGTAGTTTAGAGATGAAACAAGTTTTTTACGTACAATCAGCTCTTAACATTTATGTTTCATGAAACATATCACTGATGTTGAAACTGGAAACGGCTGTCTGAAATCAAATCTAGGCTGTGACATCGCAGAGCTGATGCTGGACTTCATCGATTGGCTGACCCAGCAGGACTTTGGCCGGCGTTGCATCCTTAGCGTCAGAGACATCCTGTCATGGGTGCACTTCCTCAACACTGTGTGTGAGCGGGATGAGGACGGCTTCATGACCATGGGGGCGCTGGAGGACGAAGAAGAGGCAGAGTGGGACCTCAGACTGGACACCGTCACTGCCTTCATCCACGCAGCATGTCTGGTCTACATTGATGGCATCGGCTCTGGTGAGCAGAGGGCTTGACTCTACTTTCACTGAAAGTTTGTCTCTGAATGGACTTGTGTAGGGGATGTGGTCTGAGTCTCCGCTCTCCTGCAGGAACCACAGTGTCCTCTGCAGACAGCGCCCTCCTCGCTCGCCGGCTGTGCATGAGCTTCCTGCAGCAGCGGCTGAGTAAGATGACAAAGCTGGATCAAGAGATGCTGGATGCCCTGAGAGTCTATGACAGCAACCTGCCACGGAAACCGCAGTGGGGAGAGGACTTCTTTGGCATTGACCCCTTCTACATTACTTTAGGTATGGACTTATTTTTTATTGTACAGCATGCTGTTTTTTTCCATGTAATGTTTATTTTAAAATCCCGACTGTAGAGAACACTCATAAATGATTTACAGGCATCTACAGAAATACTTATCTTTTTTAGTTAAAGGAAACTGGGTGCAGCATACCTGCTAACCTTTTAAGAATGCTTCACTTACTTACCAAGAGTGAAATGAAAATATCAATCTCAAGTGGCAGACTTCAGAAAAACTCTATGTTTTTGCCCTATATCACATTCAGATGGTTACAATAGTGAAACCACATTAAACTGTCAATCAGATTTAATATGGAAAAACATGTTTAGTTCAAATTTCTTGAAGATTATGTCTAGAGTTAATTTTCCCTCTCGTGACTGAATCAAATGGCTCATTAATCTTTATGTCCACCCAGGGCCTCAGACTGAGAGTCGCTCCCTGACAGATTATGCCATAGCAGCAGGCACTACTGCGATGAACGCCCAGAGGCTTCTGCGGACGCTGAAGCTTCAGCGGCCCGTGCTGCTGGAGGGAGCTCCTGGTGTGGGAAAAACCAGCCTGGTGGCAGCTCTGGCAAAGGCTTCTGGGAACCACCTGGTCCGGATTAACCTGTCAGAGCAAACAGTAAGCCTTCATATGAATACTCAGAGGCTCTTCACTGTGCTTCACAATGAACTCTACTGAGTACAAATCTCTGATGCCGATGATGTGTCCTTTCTGGCAGGATGTCACCGATTTGTTCGGGACAGATCTCCCAGTGGAGGGAGGGAAAGGAGGAGAATTTGCATGGCGTGATGGCCCCCTTCTGGCTGCTTTGAAGGCAGGCCACTGGGTTGTCCTGGATGAGGTACACTTCTTCTTTTTATACATTTGTACACCAGCTTTTTAAGACTTACAGCCGGTTTTTATTACAGAGGATAATGAAATAAATAATCGGATTAAGATGATGTATTCTGGGATATTAAACCTACTTGCTTTGCTCCTTAATGTGAAAGCTGAACCTGGCCTCTCAGTCGGTGTTGGAGGGTCTGAACGCCTGCTTTGATCACAGAGCAGAGATCTATATTCCTGAGCTTGGCATGAGCTTCCAGGTTCAACACGAGAAGACCAAGATCTTCGGCTGCCAGAATCCTTTCACTCAAGGTGGTGGCCGTAAAGGTCTGCCCAAGTCCTTCCTCAACAGATTCACACAGGTAAGAAACAGTCGACAGGATTCCAACTACTTTTATTTACTTTGTGCTTTTCTAAATGTAGTTTTACTGAATTATTATCCTATTATCCATTCATCCAGTTGTGCATTTTTATTATAATTTGTATTATAAGGTATATTACCTCCATAGGGTTTGGGGATTATCTTTTTAAATTAACAATTTATTTATCTTACACAGTTCCATTGAGGTCACAAGGGAGACATGGCTTAGCCAGCAGCGACATCTTATTGAATCTCATTGTAGGCATGTTAGCTCTAATGCATCATTACTCTTCCTGACTCAAACGATTCAGCAGAGTAATAACAGAGGGATTTGCATTTTCTCTTTCATCACTGTTAAGAAACCTGACTCACTCATGTCTGTGTTCCCAGGTTTTTGTTGACCAGCTCACCAGCAAAGACATGGAGTTCATAGCAGACTCCATTTTCCCCACCATCGATAAGGAAATCCTTGCTAAAATGGTGGACTTCAGTAACAGGGTACGTTTCTCTTCCCGTTACTCAATGATCTCTTTCTGGATTGGGCTGTTCCCATTGAAGACACCGTGTTTAAAGTGGTTTATCTTCCTCCCATAGCTCGTCCAGGAGGTGTCTGTGGAACGACGGTGGGGTCAGAAAGGGAGCCCCTGGGAGTTCAACCTGCGCGACATGTTCAGGTGGTGTCAGCTGATGCAGGCCGACCAGTCGCCAGGATTTTTCAGTCCAGGCCAACATGTGTCATTGGTGTATGCCGATAGAATGAGAACAGAGGCTGACAAGGCTCAGGTATTCTCTCTCACCAACTCACTACCAACTTATCTAAGGGTCCACAGATAAACGTGATGTACTTCATCAATTTATTGATTAATTCAAATTGGATTTCAAGAAATAATATTTTAAAGACCAGTACCTGTTGTATGTTCTGTTGTTTGTGGTTTAACTGTTTTTCTTGTCATGTTTTTCTTGTTTTTCTGTTAGGTGAAGTTTTGATTTTTTGTAACATTAGTTATGACGTATGTGTTAAGTTCCTGCATTCGTGCACAACTCTAACTTTGCTTCATTTGTTTGCCACCCTCTTTTTTTCTTTTCTTTGTTTTGACTCAAAATTTGAAAAGCCTTTTCCACTGTTATACTTTATTAACTTCCTGTGTTCTCCTCTCAGGTACTGGCGGTGTTCAGGAAGGTGTTTGGGGAGGACTTTGAGCCTTACAGCGGCTCCAGACAGTTCCACATCACTCCACTCAACCTGCAGGTGAATCCAAACACCAGAATCTAACCCCTGTTCTCTTCATAAAAAGGTTTAACATTTCTTTTTACATTTTGGTACTTCCTCTCTCATGGATTGTAGGTAGGGTTTTCAGTCCTGCAGCGAAGCGGTGGAGCCCCTGTGGCGCTGGACCCCCCACTTTCCATCACCCACCAGGCCCTGCGGCCGCTGGAGTCCCTGATGAAGTGCGTGGAGATGGGCTGGATGACGATATTGGTCGGCCCCACAGCCAGCGGCAAGACCAGCCTGGTGAGACTGCTGGCTCTGCTGACAGGACACCGCCTCAGAGTCATGGCCATGAACAGCGCCATGGACACCACTGAGCTGCTGGGAGGCTTCGAACAGGTAACCAGGAAGTCGGGTTTACTATTCAGCTCTTCATCAAAACAGAGGACCACTTTAGACCACTATTCTTTTCCTCATTCTAGGTGGATATCATGCGACCCTGGCAACAAGTGCTTGAAAGCGTAGACTACATAGTTGCCATGGTAATAAGACGCGGCCTAATGTCACTGGATGTTGGCATCCAGGACACAGAGTTCCTGCTGCAGACGTGGGGCCTGTTCTGCAACTGGCTGAATGAGAAAGAGCTGCAAAAAACCGGGGGAACGGTCGACTCAGAGGCTCTGAACAAGCTGGAGGTCATCATCCTCCTCCTGCAGAAACTCAACACCAAACTCAAAGTGTTCACTGGTAATGACCAAGTACTGTTGGATAACTGGATACTGCCCGATAACATGGAAAAAGGGATACAATAATGAGTGTTTTTCCTCCAGACATGTCCAAGCTGCAGATGGACTTCACGCTGCTGAAGGAACGTCTGGCCCAGCTGGAGGATGGCTGGACTAACGGGGGCTTTGAGTGGTTGGACGGTATGCTTGTCCAGGCCCTGCAGGCTGGGGATTGGCTGCTCATGGACAATGTTAACTTCTGCAGGTGAGGAACGTCAGGTTGTCTATATATAAATATATATACATTGCTGAAGTCTTCTCTTGACATCTTGTACCTCATCTTGGTTTATTAAAGAACTTCAGGAACTTCAGGAAATCAATAGTCAAGTCTGAAAAGTGTCAGTGGCCTAAATAAGAGCCATTTGAGTCAATTGTGTGTGTTCTGTCCTTAGTGCCTCTGTCCTGGATCGCCTCAACGCTCTGCTGGAACCTGGTGGATCCCTCACCATCAACGAACGCGGCGTCATAGACGGCAAGACGCCCCAAATCACCCCACATCCCAACTTCAGGTAGTACAAAAAATGAAAGCTAGTTGACTTCCTGTTGAAGTCATTGAATAAGTTGATGCTCATGTGACGTGTGGGGTGTGCAGGTTGTTCCTGACCATGGACCCTGTGCACGGGGAGCTCTCCAGAGCCATGAGGAACAGAGGGGTGGAGGTCTACATCCCAGGGGAACATGAGGGCATCTGCTGGGACTCACTGGACCTGAAGACCCTGCTTCACACTGCCGGGGTGTCCGGGGACTGTGTGTGCGATCTGCTGATTGAAATCCATAAAAGCATCAAATCTGCCATCTGGGGTAGGTACTGAATAATGACAACAAATGACTGAACTGTCTGTCAGAGTTTAAAATAAAACTGCAACTTCTATCTTTCAGATTCTCCTGCCTCATCAGTGGCCTCTCTCCTGCATGCTGGCACCCTGCTGTCCTGTCAGCTGCACAGAGGTGTGGATATACCCAGCGCCCTGCAGCACGCCTGTAGAGAGGCTTACTCCCTGTGCCAGCGCACCACTGCCAACCAAAAGGTATCACTGCCTCATAGTCAATGCATTACCCTCTTTAATATTTCTCCTGTCTCACTTTCATCAGTCATATGGGGTAACATCTGTCACATCTGCATCCCTCATCTGTGATGTACACCACAGATCTATTTTGTTTTCTATATTCACACATAGTAGTCTGTATTTTTTGTATTCTGCAGTCTAATGCAACATTCCTGCTATAAACTTTATTGTGTTTATCATTTCAACTGGAGTATATTTTTGCAGGATGAAGTTTCTTTCAATTTTCAGGTCAAATGTTCCATTCTATGTTAAATTTCTATGTGTTACTTTGTAAATCGAATGAGAACGTTCATGAATAAACATTACTGCTTACGTTTCCTTCTAGCAAGCCCAGCAGGTGATCGAGCAGCACTTGGCCATCCTTGACACGGAGGACTGGGGCAGCGGGCTGCTGTGTGCCGGGGTGTGGCCTGACGGCTTCCCCTCCGCTCTCCTCTCCACGGAGGATTCCTGCTTCTCCGCCGTTCTCCGAGACGGACAGGTGCTGTCATTCTGCCTGAACACGCTCAGCCTGCAGGGCAAACGGTGAGGATGTAAACAGCAAACACTTGAGTCTGCAGTGGATAAAGTACAACACAAGCAGGGATTCAGTCCAGAAACAGCTAAGTGTAAAATGATGCTGGGGACTGTTTGTGGTATAAATTTTTTAAGGTATTGGTGAGACAATGAATTATGATGTAAGAGGTCCAGTTGGAGTTTTAAATCAAATTAATACATTTAAACACTGCAGAGTGTTTTATAATACTCACTTGGAATGTTTGATTTGATCTTTTTGTAACAACTGTGAGATTAACAGTATAAATACATTATTCCTGAAAAGGAATCCACCAGGAATATGCTCTTGATTGTATTTGATAGTACAAATCAGTGCCAGTCACCGTTATTTACAGATTGAACTATTTGTAATGATGATGTCAGTTGTTGTGCAGTGGAAAATATCAAAATGAGAAAAAGATAAAGAGCTGGAACCTGAACAGGTTTGAGGTGTCAGTTTAATTGTAAATACTAAAAGAAGTTATGGTGTAAGTGTAATTTCTAAAAGGGAAGATCCTACCTATGAAACAGGCATGAAGTCTTTTACTGTGTGCACAGGAATCTACCACTGAGCCTGAGTGACCTGCAGAGGGCGCTGCAGAGCAGTGGTGTCCATGAAAGCCTGGTGTTCTCTGAAGGTGTGGTGGATCTGGAGGAAGGAGACGCTCTGAGGCTGATACCTACAGCAGTGAGACTGGTCACAGAGAGAGCCTCTCACGGGGACTGGATCCTCCGCAGCAGCTGGCTCTCACATCTGGGAAAGAGCTACAAATACGCTCCTGGTATTTGGCTCCAAGTTTTCATGCACAATGACAATATATTTTCCTTTCAAGAATCCAAGTGACATGTGTTTGTTAAACTGCAGTGTGAGAAAAAGGCATCATAGACCAAAGGGTCTTCAGTACAGAGGGATCTATTGTGTGACACTGCCCAAAAGAAAAATGCATAGTTGAGATTGTACAGCATTAAACTTGGACACTAAAACTATGATGCTGTTGACTCTTCCAGATTCAGCGCTGGTCCAGGTGGAGGCAGGGAACAGGGCTCTGAAAGCTGTGTTTGCATGCAAACTTGCTGCTAAGGGCAAGTCACTCACGGAGTTGCTGCAGCCTCACAGCACAGGTACAGTCTCTGCTCATGGTCTTGTTCTTTCGTTATCGTTTTTTGGAAAGATATCTGAAGAAGCCATCAACTCTAGTGATAAGGAACACTAGCAGATGAAGCACTGTTATTTGGCTGTCTCACTCGTGTGTAAATGTAAGATGATTAAGGGGTTAGTTTGAAAGGTTCTGAGGAGAAGTTCAGTATTTAGAACAAGGAAGTTTGTAATCAGTTTATCAGAGCTCACAAAGTATTTTCACTTCAACATTCCTGCTATCAGAAACCAGGTTTAGATTCACGTGATTGTCGGTCATCTATAATAATGCACTAACCAAGCAGAAACAAGTTTAGTAGAACGTAGTCACTTACCACTGAGTAAAATGAATGACCTTTGGATGAACAACGGTTACAAGATGTTAAGAATTGCAGCCTCTGTCTCCCACCAAGTTAATAATCATTGTGTGTGTGATGTTGCAGATGAATACCGGATTCTGGTGGACATGCGCTGGAACAAACAATATCTGGACATTTTAGCCAACAAATGTAACTTTGAGGATGAGGAAAGATATATGGAGTTTTTGGAGGCACTGAACACAGTTGCTAACAGGTAAACACACGACTTTAAATAGTTTTCCATTCAAAGGAATCTAACTCAGGCATGTTGCACATAGTAAACAGACAAGGGATAGCACATCTCAATACAAGATACATTAAGAATTACAAATACATTATTGTTATTAAAATGTTATTCTGTTCGAGTCTAGAATGGTTGATCATTTCCAAAAAAGTTGTTAAAGGGATTAAAAAAGTGTGATGTATCTTTACACAAGTATAATTATGTGTGATGCATTATGTAGAAAACAGCTGCTGGACACGTTCAAGTTTGATTTGTATGTTTGTGTCTTAGGATCGTTCTGATGATGGACAGAGAGGAGAGGTCTGTCATCTGCACCTGTGCTATCAACCTGTGTGCGCAGAACTGTGCCCTGAGGATCGCCACAGCCTTCAGTAAAGGTGAGCTACTGTAACCGATCAAAGCAAAATCCAAACATCCACCCACTGAGCTACAGAGGACCATCGGGGAATTTCATGTGTCTGTATCTTTCCCTCCCCTCACAGGAACTGTTGATATCGGTCACCTGCCTCATCCGGTGCTGATGCACCTCCAGACATTCTTCGACCTGTGGAACTCATTCACACTGCAGGCTGTGCTGAGTGGACAGAACTACATCTCTGACCACATCACGTTTGAGGTGAGGACTGTTGCTTTGTCAGTCACTTTACACCCAGGATTTTCTTTTCCTGGGTTAACTTAACGAAGATATTATTTTACTGCTCTGCAACTCCTGCTACTGCTGGTGCTTCTACTACACCAGCTCCGGTCACTGCTGCAAATACTGCCAATACCACCATTATTTCTATCTGTTGTCACCACTACTGATCCTCTTACTGCCAGTACTGCCACTGCTACCAAAATGGCCAATAATATTGTAAGTTCTAGTACGTAAAAAAATGTGTATGTCTGCTACAGCTGCTTGTATTGCTACCTGTAATACTGTATACTACATCTTTTACTCCTACTCTTATAGTATAATATAATTGCAAATGTTTGCATCTAGCTGTGTTGTTGAAAATACTTAGAACAGGCTGCTCATTAAAGGGAGAGTGGAATAAAGTACAATGAGTTAAGTTAAGAATCTACAAAAAAATCAATCTGCAAGCCCTCCGAGGTTACACAGGGGAAACACTGAATGAGATGGTCACGTCACCCCTGCTCGTCTGCCTGTGTTGTGTTTTAGATCATGCAGTTGCTGCAGTGGCTCGATCGTTTCTGGGATGTGTGCAGCACGCTGCCGGCCGACTCTCAGGGCATCTCTGTGCTGTCTCTGCACTGGCAGTGGGTGCAGAAACACCTCATCCTCCGGCTGCCGCAGCTGCTGCTGGGAGACACCGACACCACATTAGAGTAAATATTTATCTTCACACTACTCAAATTTTTAAGTTCCACAATTTTTAATTCCATTTTTTCTGTTTATATTTACTGTAAATACTAACATTGGAGAGATGGTAGGGTATTGCAGTTGTACCTATTACAGTATTTTGATTTCACACATTACCAATGCATTACAGCTGTGTTACTGGAACTTTATTTCACACTGTCTTTACAACTAAAACTTATGACTGTGCTGTGTCCAGAGGTCACCAGGAGCTGCAGGTGGTCTCCGCTGCCATCCAGACTGTTCTGTCCACCCCGGTGTCTGTGGCCACAGCACTGAAAGGCATCCAGAAAACTCTGGGGAAAGCTCTGCCATTCAAGGTGAGGAAGACTAATGTCTAATATCCAACTACAAGGAAGAAAGTAAAGCTAGATTATCTGTGTTTATGTGTATTTATGTATCTGTTTACTTCATAAACCGTATCGTCTTCTTCAGCTGGAGTCAGTGGGTAAGTGTGCGTCTCTGCTGCGGCTCCTGAGTAAAGCTTTAGATGTGAGTGATCTGAGGCTGGATGGCATCACTGGGCCTTGGAGACACGATCTGCTCCGACTTCAGGGTGCTGCGCTCAAACTGGACATTAAAGAGAGTCTGCTTGAAGCCTGGGGCCTTGTTCTGCTGGCAAACAACCAGCTGGATCCTCAGAAGTCTGGTGAGCTTGTGTTACAGAAAGATCTTTCTACCCCCGAGAAAAGTAGTCAGTTGTTTCAGCATGAAATATCTCTACAGCTGCTCTACCCTCTTTGCTTTCAATAATAAAAGTTTTATTTCCATAGCTGTTTTCTAAAAAAGTTAGAAAGTACTTTACAAAATACATTCGGAGGAAAAAAACTCAGAGCAAAACCATACAAAAAAGAGTGAGAAAACAAGATTCAGATTGCATTTATTGATTCAATAAGAGAACATTTTAAAAGCAAACATCCATAAAAACTAGTTAAAATTCAAAAAA